GTGCGTTGTAATGAATTTATTAAAGAACAAGCATTTTCACACGTGTCTACGTATTTATTTTTGAATAAATCAAATATTCATGTAACCTTTTATTGATCATTATCTCATACACAGCTTTAAGCAGCGACAAAAATACAAGTAGTCTTCAAATATTAAACTCACTGTTTCAATGTCTTCAAATTTACCGTTAAAATTAATATCTTTTATAGGGCAGATATACATTATTATTTTATGTTATCAAACTTTTAGCGATATTTACCATTGGATTTTCTAAATCCTTCATTACAATTTTTTCAACTTACCTGTAGTTTTTGATTTTATTCAGTTCTCCTGTTCTGTAACTTGTTCAGGAGATGCCAATTACTACGCTAGTGATACCTTAATTATTGTATTTTGATTAACAAATATATAATTTCTAACTTATGGTTATCTTAAAAATGAAACGTTTTGAGTATTGTAGTTAAGTTGATATTATATTATATTTATATGTTAGGTTTGATAATTAAATATTACGTTACTTCTAATAAATTCGCGTCAAATTGTAACATGTTTATTATGTGATTATGAATGTAGTGCGTCAGGGAGGACGCGGGGGGGGGGGGGGGAAGGGGGGCAGCGTCCTACACGCTACAGCTCCTCATTAACACTGGCCACACTGGTGATGACGTCATAACATGGGACCACCGGCGGACGAAGTTGTTGTGTTCCGTATATATATATATTTATATTTATACCTAAGTATGTATGAATTCGTAACATAAGAGAATAGCAATTAGCTTACATCTTATATACCTATTCAGTTTATTTCAAACGAAAATTATCTATGTACAATCAGTTTAAGAACATAAGATTATATTAGTAGATAAATTCTTGATTTATTTCGTTTTGAATGTTTTAACTAAATAATTATTTAAATACGATGGTTTTGCTTATTGTATTTTTTCATTATTCCCGACGATCTAAGGTATGCAACACAATTAGGACTTGTCGAATCATCTCTCCACTAAATGACTTTTATTTCAATCCACGCACGTCGTATTATTTTGACAGCCCGTTGGACGCCATGACAGGTGGTTGAGTCTTTAGTGTGAGATATTCAGGCCTTTGTTTACATTTGTACGGATAAAGAAATATATTGTTATTTTTATATTTGATTTATTTTATTTTTATAAAATATATTGTGCATAGCGTGAACTTTGAAACAGTAAAATATAAAACTTCAATCAGAATAATTCTTTAGTTCTGTGCATTTAGGTATTTTGTAATAATTATATTTTATTACTTATTATTGAGTCTTGAAAGAAATGCCAAAAAAATATTATAAAACTTAGTTAATTTAATTAAAGTGAACGAAACTTAATGTAAGTACTTTTAAATAAAATTACAATACCTACTTCTTTAATCTTATAACAATTCAGAATAATGTAAATAACTCGTGATAACGGATCAGTATCACGAATAAAATAATAATAATATAAGCAATAGCATCTTGAAATAAAAAAAACTCCTACTTTATATTCTTTCCTTTTACTTGTATGAGTAAAAATTGCTTAAGTATTCGAAATATAAAAACTCATCGCAGAACTTAGAATGTATTCATAGATGTATATAAAGGAAATATAAAAGGCACAAAGGTTAAATTACAACATTAATCGTAAGTTAACCTTTCCACATTACGCTGACCCCATCGCGATACTGTTTTTAAAAAAGGCATTTGGTCTCTCATGCCCTCGAGCTAAAATCGGCGCGATCTGTCAGCGGGAATGTTGCCCGCTAATGGCGCATTCCGCGGAACAATGGAAAACCTCCTTGAGACACAAAGGATACACGTTTGATGTGAATTGTTGCTGTGATTTCGAAATTTTCTTTCACACAAAGGCCTTAATGCAGCCTTTGATTTTAAATAATATATGTACATTTGTATGTTACACCGGCAATTACTGTGACGGCTTTTTGATACACATTACACTGTGTTCGATTCAGACCCTCCTACGACTTACTAGTATTATCTTATTACTAGCTGGTATTATTTTAGATGTTATTAGATCAATTTAGTTAATTAGTATTAAGATATAGGTATAAAAACTAAATATGAATCGTTTATTGTAATGTTTATATCATAAAATTATTTTGAAATTATTTTTCTTCTTACAGGTGCAAAATAGTATGATAAAATTTGTTTTTCCTTTTATTTGAGAGACAGTTTTTGCAAACCGTGAGTACTAATAGTAATTAAAAGCATATTTTTTTCATGATCCGGTCTCTAGTATACATTGATAAAAGATTTTTTATTATCTACGCACAGACCATTTGATATCCGTATAAACTACTTACTTATAGTAAATTAGGTAAACGTTAATTTCACGATCTCACTTTGAATTTGACAAAATTTTCATCTGCTTAAAATTAAATTAAAACCATGATTATATCGACATGACACTAATTTATTTTAAATACAAATTAACACAACACAGTAACACTTTAATCGTTTATGAGATAAAAAAACAAGTAAATCCTATAAGAAGAACATTACATAATACTTAATTACCATATCGAGGGTGGGTTCCGGATAATCTGTGTGATAACAAGATGTCGTCACTTCCTGGAGGCATGTGGCTCGTGTATACTGGAGCGAGTACATAATAAGGAGTAACAATGAGGCCACATAGACCAACGCCGCGCCGTGGTACATTCACTCGACACTCGGCACTCGACACGAGGGCTGAGGGAGATTACGAAACAATACATTTTTCCAAAATACATAATAATGCTTCGTCAAATGCCGTTTTATAAATCAGAGGTCCGCAGATCAAGAACAACTAATTTGGTCAATCGTCGAGTATTTAATGGCCTTCGTGATCCTGGAGGTTATATTTATGTTTAAGCTAAGTAAAAATGTTTACTATTTTTGCGTAAGAGAAATTACATCACTGGGAATAAATATAAATATTATTTTCCAAAAACAATTAATATAAGAACATAAACATTATTTTACTACTGGCACTAAAATCTGAGAATATTGTTTTATTCCGATTTTTTTAAGCAAGCAATTATTTTGGTCAGCGATTTTCTTCAAACGTCTCGATGGAAGAAATTCCTAAATTTATCAAGTAGAACAAAAAGTCCTAATTATAATTGGAGTCTCACGGAACCCTCATAAATTTGCCTCAGTAATTGCGACACATGGGTGGATTTTCGAGATTTTTGGGTCCGCGCTTAAGTGGAGTTGGCGTGTATGACGCCGCGCGAATTATTAAAAAGTATGAAATAAAAAAAATATATAATCCTTGAAAGGGCGGCCAGCTGTAAATATAACATGTTGGTTTAGTGACGGCTAGCGAGCCTATTAGTGATTATATATTCATGTAGCGTTTATTACTTTTATTCACTCTTCGGACAGAATTATACACATATTACCTAACTGTTTTATAACAATCTACCAAAATGTACTTTATGTTATATGTAACTTTGAGGCCAATGTTAGGTTCTAAATAAAATAAGAATTTAAAAGTGTTGAATGTGTTACAGAAATGGTTCAAAAATATACGAAGTATGTATGTATCATGTTTTCTTTTGTTTTCAGACTCGTGTCATTATATAGGTATGTATGATGGTAGTCGGCTTGAATTTTACACCTAATTAAGTATAGTTGAAGTAAAAAAGATTATATAATTACAATTCAATATATAGTTTTATATAACTGCCACAATATTATATGCAATTTACATTATTAAGGTGTAACAATGTTATGTATATTTTCCTTTTTCTTTTTTATGAATGAAATAATAATTGCCACTACTTCATATTAGTGAAAAATTAAAAAAGTCTACTACAGTAAAACAAAATACATATTTAGTACGTCATCAATCAATATGAACAACATTACATAAAGATATCATTAAACATCATAAAGCATTAGCAAAATCAACATCGCGCAAAAACTATTTAAAAACCGGTAGCGGTGAACAAAAACACATCCAATGAATTAACTCACCCTCTACGATAGAATCTAACCAACCGCACGACAAAAGAATTAGTCAAAATAATACAAAAAAATAAAAGTTACACAATAGCTTTTGAAATGCTGTGGGCGAAATTGTTACTAAAGTGTAGCAACATCTGGCCAGAGGGGAGAACGTGCGAGACAATGCCGTACTCGGTCTGTTTGAGGACGGAGCATCGTGGACCTTAACGCAAGGGGATAAGGTCCAAACTGACAGAGATAAGGATGAGACTTAAAATCATTCGGCCGTTACGGAGCCGCGTTAACGCCATTACTGTCAAATTGTGAGCCAATCAGTGTGAAGCGACGCCGACCAATGATCGGGACGAGCGACGCGTGCTCTGAATTACAAATTTGGGCGGAAACTAGAACAATTTGTAACTTTTTTAGTGCTAACTGCTTACTGCTAGAACGGGCGCGGACAACTGATTGTTTGGGGAGCTGTTGTACGCGGGGAAATGAAGTTGGATCGGGAACACATTTTCAAACTTTAATTGCCTGAATTTGACAAAGTTAGTTTTTATAAGTTACGTTCATATTTTATACTATGAGATTATAACTTTATTGAATGAAATTCGCTATAAGATAGTTGTTACGATTATGAAATATGTAAATATGAAAATAAATTTACTAGCCTATAAAGAAATAAATAGTTTTAATTTTTACTTCCCAAAAGTTGTAGTGAGCAATATTCTTATGAGATTAGTATTTTTACACTAAAACGGTACCTAATTTTCATTCAATTTAGTAACATTACGAAGCAACTGATAATGATGTTAAAAAAGCTACCTATACCTACCTAATGCCTTTAGAAGTTACCTATAAACGAAACATTGTCAGTGAATATATTCTTGAAATGTACTTCTAAAATCATTATTGAAATGAGTCCCGATCGAAATCTAATTCGGCAGTTTCACATCAAACCTAATCGCGACTCACACAAGTCAAGTCTTATTACTTTAACTCAAAGGAACAGTACAAGCTTGATTAACTCCAAATGGCTTTTCGACATCAAAGTTCAAAACTGAGCATTTTTTCTCACGTCACATCTCTTTCCCATCAGACGGTAAATTGCTCATTCACACTCGGCTGGTCCGTCGTTCTTGGCCGGGAGCCGCACGCGCCGCGGGGCTCCGTCAGAGTCACGCGAGCCCAGCAGGAGCCGGCGCGGAGCCCGCAGCCCTCCGCCGGGGCTCCTTGTTGTAGTGATCCGTCTTTGACGTCTTGTGCACCGGACCACGCTGAAGTGCACATTCTACATCTTTTTTATGGGAAGTGCACAGGGACGAGGTTCGCGACATTACGTGTGAAACGCCAGCTAGTGGGTAGCTGTGTAGTGTCGCAGGTCGCTATTGTAAATGACCGCATTACTTGCTTTGTTAATGATTCATGGATCGATGACTTCTTCCTTCATTTAACTTGAATTTGATCATTTTTATCGATTGTATTATTATTATACTTTTGCTAACAGGAACGATTGGACTTTTAATAGAATATTTTTATTGATGTTGATGTATTTATGGGGTATCGTACCTATCCTATTTTAATACAGAGATAAAACCAAAAATTTATTTATATATGCATCCTATAAACAATCTGGTATTTGACTTTCAATAATGATCACATATTAAATATACTTCATTAACTAGGCTTGCGGCAAATCTCAATACTACAACTTTTATCGCTTGTAATGAACATGCGCTACAAGTAACAAATACTTAGATAATAATTCATTTCCAAAAAAGTATTCCACTGTACAAATAAAAATAATTTAAGCCCCTACTTATTGTTGCTTTTCTATAAAAAGTTGGATATCTTCCCTAATATAGACATTAAGTTGATAGAAAGAAAGTATCTATGTTTCGTATGTATGTATGTAATGGCCGTATGGGAGCATGCGTACAAGTGGTTATTATTTTTCTCAGAACGTTCGTCGTACGGAAAGCGTTAACACGAAAGGTGGGCCAAACAACAAAATCAGTAGCGAGCTTCCGCGGCATTAATAACGGCCCATTAAAACTGCTTACCTGGACAAAAAAACCTTAAAAATCTCCGTTAAGTTTCGACTCATTCACATCTCGAGTGGCCTCCAGCAGTACGCGGGCCCCTAATTTCCTTTCATCTCTACAATTTTGAACCTTCGATTGTGGCGTAAAAAAAAGAAATTAAAAAACTATTGATCGCACACAAAACGTACTTCAGCGCTTTGTCCGCGTCAGGAAAATCGGTTTGACCTACCGTTACATGCGCGCCATTATTATAATACAGACATCAATGAAAATACAAATCGACTTAAATATTTTATTGTTAATCTATAATTAAACAAATATATTTTTACTGATTGGTGTAGTACATACAAATAACAAGGCAGCACAAACATTAGCTGGAGTTTGATAAAAGAAATTAAAAAATATTATTAAATAATGTAGAAGACATGTCACATATACGCAGATGAAAATTATCTAGGGTTCTTTTATGTATGTATAATCTGTGGTATATACTGTTAGATGTGTATAATCTTTTAATTGATGAATGATTTTATTACAAATCAAAACGTTTAAGACAAAAACAATAATATGCTTAGAAAGTACATGTAAGCAACTTTATGTAATCGGTTATTAGAAAAACTGTTTGCCACAGAATTTAAAACTGATTGCAAATAGTTACATTTATTTCAAATATCATTAAAGGGAACTTTAGAAGCGATCAAATAAAACTTATTTGTCGAATTATATTTTTTTATTTATAAATCATTGTAAGTTTTTTCTTATGTCATTCTATTGCAAGTTTCCTGTCCATTAATATCCGATCAGTTCGGTGAGTCTTGTCTTATTCCTATATCTAAGGAGTAGTGCTCGACCAGTTGGCCGACCACTCGTCGGACTGGTCGACCAGCTGTAGCCTGATATGTGAGGCCTGGTGCCTCTAGCTCGTCAAGTTGCGTTTCATACAATATGTACAACGATGCAACTATGTATTATTATTAATTTTCTATTTTTTATTATATCTATTGAAAGGTATCGTCGACTACCCTCATTTCCTGCCACATGTACAGTATTATCTAATGTCAGCGCCACGTCGAGTTTCCCTGATAGCGACTTGAGCCAGAAGGTCTCTGGTTCTGGTTGTTCCCCTGTCCGTACCCCTGCCTGTCGCTGCCCTGCCTCTGGTACCCTCCCTGGTACTTGTTCTGCGAGTAACCTTGGTTCTGTCTGTAGTTCTGGTTGCTGTTGTAGTTCTGTCTGTAACCCTGGTTGTGGTTCCCCCTGTCCTGGTTGTACCCTCTGTCCTGCCCCTGTGTGTTGTATGAGCGGTTGTAGCCCTGGTTGTAACCCTGACTGGGCACGTACCCGCCACGGTAAGGACCGAAGGATTGCGACCGATCTGTAACAAAAAGATGATACATCTTTATATGACTAACAATACCAAGAAGCTTTTAAAGGCACTCGTTGAATTAAAATATCCTAATAAACGAAATTATATTAAGTGTAGGCCTATACATATGTATATTTATATTAAAATAAAAGCGAGTGAGCATTTTAAGTTCAAATTTTTTCACAAACACACAAACATCTCAAATATACTCATGCTCAAATTTACACATACTACTAATTTTATTTTACTATACTAGATATATTCTAAGTTACAGCTAACGATATTATGCTTAGCATACACTACATCATATATTGTGTTGATTTTTTTCGCTATTACAATTTAGTAAAATTGATAAAATGAATCCTTTGCAACAGGAGAGTACTGTCGACTGAAATACAGTTTTATACCTAGCTCAGGGACCGTAGACTTTATTTACATATAATACCTTTTACCTTTATGCATTGTGATCAGATTATGTTAATGTCTATACAATTGTAATGTGTTTGAAATAAATAAACATTATTATTATTATAAAATAGTATCAATTCCGTATCACAGAACACCTAAGATTTCTCGCTTTCTTAGTGATGCGATCTCAGAGGATCTAAAGATTTATGAAGCGTCTATATATTTCGTATAACTAATTTATTTTTTACTATGACCGTAGGCAGTCATTTAGCAGGTGAGAGACTTGTATTTGATTAGGAGTTAATAATCGTAAGTATCGCTTAGAGGTTAGCGCACCGTCAAGTGAGTTGGCTTCGACAGCTTACAGCGTCGATGGGGAAAGTAAAGTCTGTACAGAGTTCGACTCTAAAAGGATTTACGGGACGGGGAGCGGAGCCGATAGCTTACTTAGAGCTTAGCGCTCCAACAAACAAAGCAGTGCAAACACTCGCCGGGTTTAGCGCTCAGGCTTTTTATAATAACATAAAGAGCACTCCCGTGTCGTGGATGTCCACTCGATGCTTTAGCATAGATTATGACCATTATTTACTTATTTTACACATGTAAATCAATATATTATTGTATAGTTTACATATCATCAGTCTAGTCTAGTCTAAAACCGATCCTAATCTATCGTTTGGTCGCTGCGTGTTCGTGTTGTTCTATAACCCATAGTTTCGTGCTCATCTTCACCTCCGCCCGTTAATCTCCAAAAGGCCCGTGATAATTCAGATGTCATCAACTCTCCTCGTCTCTCATAATAACTCTCTCTCCGCGAGTGCGTAACGAGTCGTCGCCATTAGTTCCCATTGTGTGGCAGGTGGCGCCCGACGTGGGGCGCTTTACAAATCTATGCTGCCTTCATTATGTGCTTCTAACGTTTTATTCATAAGGCTTCAATTGAGTTATGAATGTATATGGCTTTTAAGTATTTACATTGTGCGTGACGTTCGCTGACTAACTATCAACGCGGGCGAGCGGAGCCGAGTGGGAGCGAATGTAGCGTTAATTAAAAATATTATATATATCTGTAGCCGGTTCAAGTTTTCTTGACAGTTTTCGGCTGCGCAAATGTTTACGCTCGCCGTACGGCAATGGTGAAAAAAAAATAAATAGGCATCAACATCGCACACATAATGGGCACCTAATGGACGCCGGCGCGACACATTCATGGAGTGAAAGCGTTGCAAATAAGAGCAATGGCGGCGTCGAGTTCGCGCCTAAATTATACCAAGGACGCCCCCCCTCCCCCCCCCCCCCACGGACTGCAACTAGTACCTGGAGGAGCGAACTGATCTACTATCGTGATTAAGAACTATAAACCTGTATTGCCCACAATATGCAAAAAACATAAGTCTTTAGAATATGAATGTACATACTTTGATATCATTATTTTTGAACGCGTATACACTTTGAAATAATTTGAAATCATCTCATAGATTTAAATTTAAATAAAGTAATCATAAAATCAAACAAAAACATGCTTGGAATGAATGAAAGAAACAATGTTATACCGTAATTAAATGATTAACATTAATTAATTACTACTAATATTATAACTGTGATGGTTGGTGTTAATGTACGTGTGTATGTATGTTCATTGCTCAGTCAGACAAAAGCTACTTAACGAATTTTGATAAAACTTTCCAGTAACGTAACTTAGATATAATATATCCGGGATCACGTCATTATAGTATCGTTGTATTTTGATACAAGTCACGTGACACAGACTTCATTCCCATGAGGTAAGCATATCTCATGGTTTAATTGCATTCCGAATGTCACGCGGACGAGGTAGAGGGCAAAAACTAGTTCAGCTATATATTTAACACAGATTTCAGGATATATTACAGCAAAAAATTTTTAATCATAGTATTTGTAAGACATCTCCTATCACTTCAGGCTGAAGAAACGACAAATATGTAATAATTTCATACAATTCCTAATTAGATTCTCCTTACATATACAAGTTACCTATCGGGCGCTATAATAACTAGACGATTTAATAAAACAAATTTATTTCATCGGACAGTCGAATCATTTATTTTTGTATACTGGATTGTTCAGGATCTGAATTGAAGGTGTGGTGATGAAAGCACTATGCGGAGATGACATTTTAAAACATTTTATCTATACAAAGGCTTATCTTGGTAATGTTCGTAATTTAATGAGATTTAATACTTTCGCGATTATTCATTTAAATGAAACTAATACTTTTGGATTACTTCGCGCCAGTCCATGATCACTATCTCTGCAAAGTAACTGAAATGTCGTGAGCATGTAGTTTTTTAAAATAATAAAATACGCGTAGTTCCGATAATATTAGTTTCATTTAAATATCCGTATTTAGTATGTTGAAAATTGTACATAATGTAACTATTTCACTTTCGAATATTATTCATTATTTTTCTTATCTTATCATAATAGTGTTTTTCATTAGTTATATATTAATATTCAATGGGTTTTAGTTATAACACCATATGCTACTCTCAGACCCCGTGAATCCGTCGCGACATCAAACACCATAACTTCTTACGTTTCTTTTCATATGTATTTCGTTAACAGAAACAAAATTAAAACGACTGTATTACTAACTTCTGTTAGTCAGTAGTACAAAGAAACAAATGACTATTGTTATCTATATTTAAATTTATCTTTCTCTTATAGAAAGAATGTTTTAATAAGGAATTTAAAAAATCGTTATTATGTGAAGTTTTGTGAATTTTATTCCTATTATACATTATGTATTATGTAAAAATTTTCTCGGAGTTCGAAATTATACTTCAGTCAATTAGTAAACATATCTAATAGGTAGATTTTACGAATACTATTGGTGTACTATAAAAAATATATATGGTTATAAAAAAGAGTATATTCGACTGTAAATACACGTAAGTACTTATAAATCTATCACAAACATGTACGTGTGATGGCAGGAGATATTTCAGTAAAAAAAGTAGTTGAAGCTTTTATATAACCTGAGCCTATATATACTCCAAAAATACGTATATATACTATATACATATAAATTGCAAATATATATAAATTGCAGTTCTAGGAACAGCAATGGAACGATACATTTTATATTATAATTTTAGGATCTTTAATAATCATTAATCATGATAATATTTAGTATCTAATAATAGATATTTTTAGTACCTAAGAGTCTTTGACAGTTTTATTTTCGTCCAAGCTTTACGTCTTAGGTTTATATGAAATAAGTATTTTTGTTCCAATTGAATTTATAATTACTAAATACTAATTCCATTAAATTTTATTGTGATCGTTGACATTTCTTTCATTGTAATGACAAAGCGATAATTAATATCATATGTGGACGATACTTTCTGTGAATTTTCTTTAATTATTGCGCAGTTTTTGAACATTATACCAAATTATTATGCTAGATACAATAAGACAGTGGTTCTTTTAGGAGGCTCATTTAAAAGTCGGTATCAATCTATAATCAAAGGACTCTGATGAAGCTCATACTTCAAGGTTTATGTACAAATTCGATAGACAGAGTCGTGGAGATATTTTCTTATAAAAACATTTCAGTGAGGACGCGAGTCGCGAAAACTCTTGACCCTCAAGAGAAACTCGAGTGTCAGCGACTCCTTCAAGGACTACAGCAGGTTATTCAAAGGTGAAAACCAAAAGTTTCCGATAAAAATTGACGTTCAAGCTCGGGAAGGTCATGTCTTTTCAGGCGTTTGTTTCAAAGAATTCATTTTTTAGGTAGACTTTAGGAGTTCTGTGCAGCCTTCCAATAAAATAATATAGAAAACATTACATACACAGAAAAATAAGCAGCCATAGGAGTTATAAAAGTGATGATGGTCAATTTCTGTTGTGTATAAAACAACAGAAATAACGAAATCGTCGCAAAAAGACTATAATAATAACTAAATTAATATCAATTAATACATTTAATCCAGTTAGGTGTGTGTAATTCCGCAGTTTTATTATCATAGACTTTAAAACTATTTATAATATAATATTAAATACATGAACAAAAACAGAACACGTCATCACGAGAGGCAATTACAATAAAGACATGTTCAGCGAGGTACATCCTGACACCGGACACTCGAGTTGGCGAGTAACAAGAAAAATGGAGAAAGAAATAAATAAAAAATAAAATAAACGAGACGAGTCAAGTGAGCGGGAACAGAACCCGCTACCCGCTGTAATAATTAGAGACGCTGACGGCACGTGCTCAAGGGGCTAAGTCGGCCGCTGCGAGGTTTAGGAAATATAACGGAGACGAGAACAGCAGAGTTTAATATACAGTAACGACTGGACTCTGAGTTATATGATGACGGAAACTGAACACACTGTATACATATACAGGGTGATCAACATAAACAAAACACACAATTAATATATGTATGACTTTAAATATCAATCAAAAGTCAATTCGAAAAAAAATCAAAGTAAAGCGTATTCAATTAAAGAAATGCCATTTGGGGGTGTTCAAATAATTAGGACACGTGCCGCCCCCTACCGTTCAAATAAATATTTAATAAAATAAACAAATTGGACCTTATTACTTGGTGATAGAGGCGACGGAGACTCGTTTGTATAACATTTAATTGATTCGAAGGAGATTAATTGGGAATCAAGTCGAGAGTTGTGTTGGGTAGTTTAAAATATATAGGAGAGACGAGAGGCTGTCACGCGGGTGTTTTGATTAGGAAATGTAAACTATTTACTGGGAAATATTAATATTTATATGTATTATATGGTTATAATACATTTGGTATAACGTTCGGGCTGCAGCAGTATATGAAATTAATAATAATAAAAAAATTAGGCTATACATTTTAATTATTATTTGTTTTAAAAAATATAAAAAATCACGCGTCATTTTGTTTGTCCGCAATTTACTCCTAAACTACTTAACCAAATTTAAATTTAATTTGCACACCGTTCAGTTTAATTAAACTTGAAAGATAGGATAGCTTACATTTTAATTTATAGCCGAAATTATTTGTCTATTATTTTGTTGTTATTTTCTTTTGCAAAGTTGTTTTGTATGACGTCACGTGACACATATTATAAATGTTGACGTAACCATATCTATTATTTTAACACTATACATTCCACTCTTTGACATACTCACGCGGGCGAAGTCGTGGACAAAAACTAGTATTGTATCCGGTGAACAAGTTGTAGGTACACATACCATTTGTATTAACAACTAGCGCTACCAGCTGAGTTGAGGATCTCCACACAAACTTCAGACTATCGAGATATTGAAAGAAACGTTTTATCTCACACAAAAAACCTTAAGATAACTCTATCGGATTAAAAAAAAATACAAAGTAAATAAAATACGCATTAAGACACCTCAGCCACCTGGATAAAGGATGCGATAAAAAAAACCGATACTGTAATCCTCTCTGGCCGGATAATAGGAAGCACTTGAGCCGATCGACCGGTTATTTAAAAAAAAATGCTCCATCCCCATTGTGCGCGGCCCTCGATAATTATTATTTTCGTAGTTGGCGACACTGCAGCGGACAATGGCGTCCCTTCGCGCTTCCTGTTTGCTTTCGCGCGCTATTACACGTCAATGGCCGCGGGGCGATAGGGCAATTTGAATCCCGTACAACAATGGGGCACCATTCACCAATGTTATTGGAAGTAATTCTGTTTCCTCAGTTACGTAATGTGTTCCTTGTCAGCGTTCTCTTAACCGATTCACAATATTAAGCCGATAATTGCGAACTAAATCTTCCATTATACTAGTAACAAAACATTAAGATTGAGATCTTGAAAACCGGATATGATGCAATGTATTCATAGTGAAAAGTTTTTTATTATTAAACAGCAGACAGGTTATTTATCCATTAAATAAGTTCATAATAAAAAAATATATATTTAAATATTTGAATTTGTTCAGACTAAAATATTCCGTACTTAAATCTTTTCCTATATACTTGTAACATTGTATTATTTAAAGTTTGTCGCGATATTAAAACACTCGTTTACATTTTTTCAATCACTATTTATTTTCACAACAAAATCTACGTCATTTTAAATGCACGTGTATATATATATTTATATACAGTACATAAACTAAAATAATATTTTTTACAAATTTAGTCTGTCTGTCTGTTTGTTTCGGCTCATCTCTGAAATGTATGGACCGATTTTACCGGGACCGTTATTGGTAGGTAGCTGATGTAATAACGAATAACCAAAAAATAAATAATTATTATTATGTAATCAAAGTAATTGTTTTTATCCTCATCCTGAAAATAAGCGTTATTACGCGGGAGCGAGACTTATAAGCGCTTTTTTCATTGTTTTTTTATTTATATGCAGACGGAGTCGCGAGAACCAGCTTGTTTTATATTCCTTGCGTATTAATAATAATCTATCTAATACTATAAATTAAAAAATCTATCACGTGTATTGTTTATAGCTGTATCACTCCAAAACGACTTGACCAATCTTGACTAAAATTAATAATATTGCAGCTCAGACATCACACAAGGACAGACAGACAGTCACAGCTCAACTCTCGTGTAGTTAGAACTAATTCGTATAGTGTAGTATGACGTCACATGTCAGTATACATGTCGCTCACGATTGGTTCACATATATATTAGTTAAACACACTATAATCTCAGCAAAATTCATAAGCCGAGAACACAAACTACTCATATTATATTATAACGCATTACCCCCCCCCCATCCCCCCTCCCTTATAATTTATATTAATATTTAATAGTCATCAAGTCTGTTTGTCAACACGTCCCCGGCCACGTGACCGGCGCGCGTACAGTGCGCGCATGTCATTAAATAAATTTGATTTTTATATTTCCTCTACTAACAATACGCGCCGGTTGGACGTATGGTGACGTTTAATTGGCGGGTTTGACTTACTTGTGTTATTGTATGGAAATTAATATTAAATAATTGATCATAATGACTTTTATATAGGTATGGTTTTTAATATTTTAAGTATATTTCGTATATACTATTTGTAACACGTATATTTTGTCCTTAGAATATTTGTTATAATATAATAACATCTATATAATAATATTTATCTGTCCGTACGTTCTTGTGATTTGAGAAACTTATTCGACCACATTGAGTTGTTCTACTGCTACAATTAAGAAATTTTTAAACCATAACAACAGTTAAAAAAATGGGAGTTAAGTTTAATATTTTTGACAGGATCTCCTAAATAAAATAATATATATGGTATATCAAAATAAATCTCAAACAACCGTGAGCACGTAAAACGAGAGAAGATAAAAAATATAAATAAATTAATTCAATCTAGTTTATCATATATTGTAGTGACTAAATTATCAATATTATTTTGTTCTTTATTAAGTGAACACCTTTTTTAATACAGTCTATACAAAATACATATTTATTTGTTATATTTTCAATGCAGACTGTTGACAGTTGAATGTCGTAATATGTGAGAAACTATTCTCTGTAGAGGTCAAGGAATACTGGAGACGCTTCAATATTTGATTAAGTCTAAATAACATTTTAAATCGCAGACGACCTTACAACATACTAAATCAACCTCAAGTGTTTTTTGATGCTTATTTGACAATTATTCAGTTAAAACAATATTGTTTGGGTAAACCTAGTTTTTTTTTGAATTACATCGTTGTTTTGGAAATTTATAGGTTTTTCTTGAAAGAAAAAAATAAAAAAAATACGTTTCATGTCTGAATACTCTTGTTCTATGTATATGAATTCGTATACTTGAAAACCATACGAGTTCTCTAAAGCTATTTATCTTAGTAAAACCATTACATAAGGAATTATAGTTCACTTCTATCGAGTATCTCACATAATCGTTATTGACTGATAATTTCAACTTCACTATAACAATAATAGAATATACACAACGCTACGACTGACGTTTAGTGACAACGCACTCACACACACACACACTGACGGGTCTTGTGTGTGTGTGTGTGTGTGAGTATTAAAGTTGAGAATGTGTGTGTGATTGTTATTTTAAGCGATATAATGTAATTATAATACATTTCCTATAAAATTTTTGTTTTATGTTCTTCAATATTCGATTGTGTTGAAAAGGTTTTGTTTATATATATAGTGTATATATACTCACTGTGTTGCGGCGGGGGCACGTTCCCGTGTGTGTTCCGAGCCAGCTGGTGGCCCAGCATGCGGTGACCGGCCACCTCCAGGGACGCTATCGTGTGCGACCGGACCATACCTGGGAATCATGACCACTTTAAACACTCACTTAGGTCACTTTTATTCTCTATTTTTGGTTCACATTACAAAAGGACTTAGATTTTATCATAGTCAAATGAAATGTTATATATTAGTGTACTACTTAGATATTCTTACAATACATGTTTATAATTCCATTTATTACAATATTGGTATGCTTTTGAATGATATAATAGAAGACAAATAGAGATAAAACACTAATACTCAGGGTATTTTGTTTTCCGAACCGGTGGTAGGGTCTCAAGTGACCATCAATAAGAAAGTGTAATGCTTCTATATTGAATAAAGGTAATTTGTGTTTGAAAAATAATTGGTCAGTAACTGATATGAATACTCCAGTAGTGAGTATACTGGTGACCAGTGATATAAGACCCCTCACCTATCTGCGGTCGCCAGTTCCTGTTCTCCTGGTGTGACAGGTTCCCAGGTTTCAGTACCCTGGGCGGGTCGACGGCCCCCCGCAGCCTCCTGGCCGGGAACACGAACTCGTCCGGGAACTGCGGGTCCTGGTACCTCACACACACCACCCGGTTATCCGTAACCGGTTCCAAACCCACTACTGGCGACGGCAGCTGACTGAGGAAACGTGGATTCTATATTTAGCTTTATTATATAGTATGTGACGTATTAAGTTTGTCAGATGTAGTATATAAATATTTATAAAGGAATTCTCAAAAAGAAATATCGTTAAATGTGTTATATATCTCATATGACTTCTGTGTCCAACCGGTTCGAGAGACCATTTAAATGTAAAGGCATCTGTTTGTTCGTTCATTTAATAAAATTATATAAATTGATAATGGTTTTTAGATTGATTAATAATATTATAAAATATATGATTGATTATTATTGATGAGAACGCCCAGTATGCTTGATGAATGCGAACTGTATTAAATTATAAATTATTATAATTTTGCATTGAAACAAAAAGATGATGCGTGCATTTATATAACATCATAATTATAATGAGATTTAATTTTCGCGAGTATTCATTTAGGTCATAATTATGTCGAGCGTAGCACGTATAATTTTCGTTATAACTTGGTATTCATGTCTGTGTTTCACCCACCACACTAATGTACCAGGTAGCGTCATTTTTGCATGTAGTACAAGTAGTTAGTGTATATATATATGTATGTATGTCTGTGTTTCATTTATCACACTATTCTATAAAGTCGCCTAATATTGGCATATATCAAGTAGTATTACTAACCCTCCAAGTCGTACACAGTCCGCGCTAAGCATGACGTCCCCGCGGACCCCGTCACACCTGTAGGGGTACTTCTGTTCCGTCTGTATGAGCCGGGTCAAGTCGTCCCCCGCCTCCGAGTATAAGGAAGACAAGAACTCATAGCTCTTGTTGGCCGGCGCTACGTACAGACGATCGTGGCCTTTGATGTTGCGTTGCTCTGGAATATATAATAGTTTTATGAATCCCATTAGATAATAACGTCGTGATGGCTTAGAGATTGAAGCCCCGAATCACGTGCATGAGGGCGCGGGTTCAATCCTGGCAAGTATCAATGTGATTTTTCCGAGTCACATGTACTTTCTAAGAGTATTTAGACACCACTGACTGATGAAGAAAAACATTGTGAAGAAACCTAGACTGGTAATTTCAAATTATAAGTTTGAAATCACCAACCCGTCTTGAGCAAGCGTGGTGATTAATGCTCAAACCTTCTCCATGTGAGAAGAGTTGCTGAGCTGCCTTTGCTCAGCAGTGAGCTCTGATAAGCCGATGATGATTAGATGGCAGACATCTATATGGTTTGTATGTTTTATTAAATTCCAAATTTTATTTCCATTGAACAATACTAACTCTCAGCCTGTGTGAGGTCGTCGTAGTATGGCTCCAACGCCTTGAACAGTCTGTTTTCATCGACGAAGGGCAGCAGCGCGACTCCCTGCCACGCGAACTTCTTCCCGTTCAGATCTATCTTGAAATCCGTGGGGTAGAAGTCGATGATGGGGGAGAACTGGGAATGAAAAGGTACTTAGAATCACAATATAAGTTTTAATTTTACTTAAGACTGTCCTCTTATTCAAATGTATGACGATTAAATCACAATATTGTCAACAGATCACTTTAAACATACACATAAGTATATACAGGGTGACTGGTGAATTACTATCAATATTTAAGGAGCATACTCAGTACATGATTCTCATTCGAATTATGTAAAAAAAATAGGTACTTAATTTTTGACCAAATTTCCGTATAAATAAATAAAGTGTTGACACGTTCCAAGTGTTCCAAGTGTGGACGCGTGCGGCGGCGTGCTGATACAACACAACGCCGCCGCACTCGTACGTGTGAGTGTGTGTGTATACCGAATCTGTAGGGTGTTTACACGATGCGTAATTAATTACATAACTTTTGGTTAACTTTACTTAGAAGATTATTAATATTTATGTTATACATATTAATTTTTATTTTGTCATATATGATCGTCACAAATCACGTCCTCAAGTATCGATAGTAATTCACCAGTCACCCTGTATACTAGCGTATAAATTATATATCTATCTCTCTCTATTGAGTCCACAATATACTGACCGGGTCGGACATAAGCGTGGCCCAGGGTCGAGGCACGTGCTGCGAACTGGCGGCCGGGAACACGCCCATCAGCTGCTCCAGGGGACGGAACTGGACAAAAAAAACATTATAAACATATGGATACGACAAATACACGTTCATCATTGATAGATATTCCATGTTAGTCCTGACCGGTTGCGTGCCTCGCTCGAACTTGGTGGACAGGCCCTGGATGTTGACGAAGTCGGAGGCGAAGGGCGCGTAGTGATACGGGAAGTACCACTTCCAGCTGGCGCAGCCCTGGTAGTAGTAGCGGAGCACCCAGCACAGGCCGCGCACGTACTGCAGCGCCACGCGGTACCTGCTCAGAAAAGATCAGAAATTAATATACGATATTACTCAAACACATTTATCATTTTCTTTTTATGTTAAAGAGTTAACTGAGCTAGACTCCACCACCTTAAAATTTATATACAATTCCTAGCAATTACTTCATTCAAGTAACTTAAGTAAAAGAGATTCCGAACTAGTCAGACAGCCAATCAGTCAGTCAGTGAGTCTCATATCTACTATATGTGAGTGTACCTGAACTCCAGGTTGTCCCTGGCCACCTCGAACTTGCTCTCGTAGTATCTCTCCTTGAAGCCCTCCTCCCAGAGCCTCACTTCATCATGAGCGTCATCATCGTCCAGCCCCGCCTGCTCCGCCGACCGCTTCTGACCGCGCTGTTCCTTCTCCGCCTGATACATACAATAATACACTCTAACTCACTGTATATAAGGAACATATTTAATATTTTCAGTGTATGGTCACCTCTGCCACAGCCTGCATGCCCGCCAGTCGTATGTTGGCCGCCTCCTTGCGAGCGTTCTCCACTGTTTTAGTCTCCTCTCCCACTTTCTGAAACGACCATTATGAAATATAAATACAATTATACCACATATAGACTCTTTGATAGTGGCATGTTAGGTCCTACCAGCTTATCCCGGTATCTTTACATTCATAATTGAGTATACTTTAGTGTTTAAAGTATTCGGTTCGTATTTTAAGTCAATATCCTCACCATGGGTGCGAACTGCGTCTTCTCCAGTAATTCGAAGTTAATCTTCTGCTGTTTCTTGTGCTTCTCCCTCGCCTTGAAGCTGAGCTCGTTCTGATGCCGTCTCCTGAAGATCTCATCTTCCACTCGTCCCAGCTCATCCATGATGACCTGTACCCGGTCAAGATTCACGTCGCCTGAGTCTGTGATCCAACCCTGGAGAGATAGGTATCATATAATAATATATTACAAATACTTTATACAATTTGTATTAAGATATAAACAGTGTCTGGAGAAAGTATACAGGGTGACTGGTGAATTACTATCGATATTTGAGGACGTGATATTTGATGATCATATATGACGAAATAAAAATTAATATAACATAAATATTAATAAACTTCTAAGTAAAGTTAACCAAAAGTTGTGTAATTAATTACGCATCGTATGAACACCCTACAGATTACTCTACACTACACACTCACACATACGCGCGCGGCGGCGTGTTGTTGTATCAGCACGCCGCCGCACGCGTCCACACTAGGAACACTTGGAACGTGTACACACTTTATTTATTTATACGGAAATTTGGTCAAAAATTAAGTGCCTATTTTTTTTACATAATTCGAATGAGAATCGTGTACCGAGTATGCTCCTTAAATATTGATAGTAATTCACCAGTCACCCTGTATAATGAAATCTAATATATAAAATTTCCATGTCACAATGTTAGTTACTATACTCCTCAGAAACGGCTTTACAAATTTTTACCAAATTTTATGTGTGTACATATTCAGTAGGTTTGAGCATCAGCTACACTATTTTTCTCCCTTAAGTGATAAGGGTTGTTCATCCTTAATATTTTTTTTAATTTTTAATTTACTTATTATAATGTGGCATTAAAAATACATATCTAAATTTATACAATTTTATCACCAACCCCTACTTTTTTAGGTTACAAAACAACATTTGTGGTGTCAGCTAGTATTTATACAAACAAAGAACCTAATAATCGCTGTTTTAGCGATAGGGCCGCCTATTGTACATTTTTCTATTCTTTGTTTTTGTTTTACTTCTATTATTTTTGTCTATATTGGTGTGCAATAAAGAGTATATATAATAATGATGTTACTGACCCTAGTCTTATAAACACATTTCTTGTACAAGTTAACGAGCCGGTCCACCGCCCCCTCGCGTATCTCCAGCGAGGGTAGATGAGGCAAAAAGTCGTTTCCCACGAAGAAGCACATGAACACCCAGTCGTCCAGCGCGCGCTCGAAGTCGTAGCTGAAAGGGAGGTTCGGCATACTCAGCTCCTGAAATAATACATTACAAAGACTTCACATTATTATAGTAACACTATATAGTATATAATACGCATTTATTTTTTACACTAGGCGCAAAAAGTTTGATTTTAATGTCTATTGTGTGTGTATGTCTGTGACATTGTACATATAGAATGATTATTTTCAGTTGTAAGCCAGTTTCCTTGTTGCGCTTTAGTTATGTCTGGTTAATGTTCATCAAGTAATGTGAGACTATTCCCTTCCTTTTCTTTCTATGTAAGTCATTTTTGCATCTATATGCAACATTTGATAGAGTACTTATGTACTTTATGAAATGTTTTATGTGAGCCAGTATAATGACAATTAATTATCGTAACATAGTTATAATTATAGTAATGACACAATATTAAGTTACATTTTCTGTATTTTATCTGGGGCCAGTGCATCTTTAATGTTGAAGTACATAGTTTACAGTTTCACTAACCTTCTCTAAATACTCCCTCAGTACCGTCAGCCTCACGAAGATGAAGCTGTCCTGGTTACCAAAGGATGGATCAGATCGTACCAGTGAGGCGTCCGGAGTAGTTCCGGTACACTCCTTCATTTCATGACCTACAATAATATTTTATGACATAAATACTCCTTACCAAAACTTGTATGGAAAATTATTTTAAATTATTGCTTCTTTATTAAAATATATTACCATATATACTACAAAGGCAACTTCATCACTAATAAGTGATCTCAAACAGACAAATTATACAAGGAGAAATTTTTAACAAGACAAATTTTACGTCAATAATATGTATTGTTTCTATCTATAGTTATTGTCAATACCTAGCTGTCCACAGACATCACACGGTCTAGGCTTGTTGGGTTTGAACTCCTCGCGGATTATAGTGAAGTTTGGCTCGTGGGTCGCCAGCCCTAACATGATGAGGTCAGCATCGGCTCCACACAGCACATGCTGAGTGTTGGGATCGTGGTCTGGCTGGGCTGCCGATAGAAACATTGAGAATAAGTGTAATCTACATTAAAATAAACTATTGGTTATCCATGGAAACTGTGTAAACACAATATATATTTTTTTATACAATAAAGGGGACAAATGAGCAGACAACCCACTAGATGAGCAGTAGTCACTGTCGCTGACGGACATCTGACACTTAGTAGATATTGCCAATGTGTTGCCAACTGTGATTTTTGAGGAGAAGGAAAGGACATGAGGGGTGGGACTAAGGAAAGGGCAACCGGCTCTCTTACTCATTAGTCAAAACGCAGCCAATAAAGGCTAATTCATGCCAGTCTTCTGTGAGATGGTGGTACTTCCCCGGTCGAGCCAGCCCATGTTTGAGCTGTAGTATCTGACCACAGCTAGGCTCTACCACCTTATAAAACCTCATATATCAGTAACATAGAAGAGTCTAGAAGTAGCTGTATTGTAGTAAGTCAGCACCTTACCCCTTTGTCTCCTGATGTAATCCATAATTTTATGCTCCCCCTCCCCCGGCACATTAGCATCTGATAGTATAACCTTGATCCCCTTCCAGCCAGGGTCATTGTTTAATCTGGAAGACAAATACATATTGAACTTATTACATAGAAAAGTTTAAAAAATCAACTACAGTAGAAACTCGATTAACCGGACTAATTGTTGTCGATAGGCATTCGGATAATCGAAAATCCGGATAATTGAATGTATAAAGAAAAGCCAGTTTTGTGCATATATAGTATTTAGTTTATTTAAAAAAGTAACAAATACATACCAACGATATTCAATGTTTATTAATAAATTATTAAAGGATACATTTTCTTAGATTACATATACATACATACACATGTATGAACCAAAAACTGCAGATTTTAATCATGAAATAAAATTATAATTTTAGTTTGGTTTAGAATATTTGGTAATTATCATTTGACGTACGCCACTCTCAACAACACGGCTCCCTTAAGCTTTACCATTCTTCCTTGCCCAGACTTGTCCGAGTCCGGATAATTGCAAATCCGTATTACCGAGGGCCGGATAATCGAGTTTCTACTGTATTTCTAAAGTGGGTCTCTTGTCAATAGAAAGTGAACATATTAGGTTGAGTGCATAAGCCACTGTTAAACTAAGAACTATGAAAAAATAAAATATTGGGTGCACAAGAAGAAAGTCTTGTTATGGAATGATAATGGTTTTTGTTGATACAGGAATATGTGTATGAAATCAATAGGAATATGTAGTCAATCCATAGAAATAAACAATCAGTTTGAGAAACGTTTCATGTAAGGAAACTGCTACGATAACAAATAAAGTATATCTGTAAAAAATTATAATCACTATCACATCTGATATTCTAAATTGTTCAGAAAAAGATTATCCATTATATATGAACTATAATATATTTGCAAATAATACAACTTTATTGAGAACTAGATGTAACATTTTTATCAAGAACTCAGAATAATAGCACACAAGTTTACTATAAAGCTATATATTGATTATTAATCACAGAGAGCACTCATTGAGCATTATTTAGTAAAATTCCTATTGTTTGTCTTTACCTGTCATGTATATAGTAATGTAAGCACTTGCTCAGCCGATCCATGAAAGGTGTTCCTGGAGTGATACAGTTGGAGTCAAAATGTGCCTCTTTGGGTCTCTCTGGTGGTAAGTAAGCCCCTTTGACTTGCAGCTCGTTTCTGATCCGAGCTATTTCTTCTATTTTTTCCTGTGTCTCTTTAGACGCTCTGAATCGCCGAGACCTTTGTTGGTTCATTTTAGCTCTAGGTGCCTACAAGCAAGAATAATTAATAATCTTTATGGAACTTCATTGAATTGTCGTAAACGTAAACATGTAGACACAACAAGTCACTCACAACTCCATCAATAGCCATGTACAACAGTTTCCTCGGTCTTACGATGCGGAATAACCTGTCGATACATTCGAAGATAGCCACCATCATCTCATCTTCGTCCTTGGGAGGCGGTTTATCTTCAGGATGTGTACAAGGATGGATGATCCCATTCATATCCAAATATAGGTTATCAAATTCGATCCCATTAGGGTTTGGTAATGAGGAGTCTGCATATATAAGCTGGCCATCTACGTCGGTTGGCTGGAAACGGTACAAAAACAGTAGAAGTCTTATTTACAACTTACTATTATGCGTTTTGAGGTTAGGTTATTTACCCTCTGTTCAACACATTCGACAATAACGCTAGGGTATTTACGACTTAGCCATCGAAAGAATGCTGGTACTCCCATTTTGGGATTTTAATTTGTTGTCCACTTTGTAATTTGTTTATTGTTAAAAAAGCGAAATTGTCACGTATTCAACACAAACAAATCGACGCAGGTGGCCATTTGTATTTTAAGGGATGGCAGTCAGCTGTCTATTTTAATTATCAATAGAGAACAAAATCGATTTTTTAAAAGGCGATTAAAACTCAAATGGAGATTATATCATACATAAGGTCAATAATTACATATATAATAATAAACAACAATATATAAGACCTCATTATAAAACGATAAAGGATATGTGAAGTACTTTGCATTTGAATAAATTTCTGTGATGACTCGAAAAATTGTGATGGAAGTACATTTCGAATTGGGTATTCGGGCCAAGTGTATTGGATCTCAGAAGCTCTAGATATTATTGATAAAAAGAGAGCAATTTTCCATTTCAAATCGTATTGGAGAAAATCGAAATTGTTCAAGTCCTGGAGCCCAAATTATTTCCCTTATTCTGAGCTGTTCCTATAACACCTCAAAACAGCTACGTTGTAAAATTCATTAACTATTCTGAAAACAGCTGTGAAGCTGCAGTTGCGCTTCTTTAAAAGTTTATCAATGATAACAATTCCATAACAGTCTCTTCTTTACAGTCTAGCAAATCTTTGTAAAGAGTTAGATTATACTTCCACCTGGAATAACTTACATAGTAAAGGACAGAACCCGTACTTCATTGAAGGATTTCTCTCAAACCAACCATCCATTCTGTTAAGGTTCAGAGTATGCATGGAGGGTGATTAAAAATTAGCTAAAGTTTTTTACTATTATACGGGGGCGGTCATTAAGAGAGTTAAAGGCATCTCAGAAGGTATATTGAAAAGAAAGGACAAGTGATGTAAAGCGTCTGCTCTTCTACTATGCTTACCTTGGGAAATATTGAGTCATTCAATTCTTTTTACATAAAAAATTAGGATCTACACTGTCGAGTGGCGGAAACTAACCCATGTTGTACTACAACAAGTGGATGAATGTAATTTCAAGGTAAATGAGTATTATGTGCTTTTATTTCCTAATATAGTTGAAAAATAAGTGACTCCATACATTTTAATATTCCAATATCGATTTTAGTTAAAAATGTTACATATTTTATATTGTCTATATTTTTAAAAAACAAATATTCCCATCCCTATTGAAATTAAGTAAATAAAAAAAACGATTTGTCTATGTCAATGTTTTGACTTTTTAATTTGAAGTTTGATCTTATTAGCCTATGTATTAGTGTATAGCTTATACTTTTAGAAATGAAAAGTATTGTCTTAGTAAATACTTATAAGAAATTATTTAGCAATGGCTTTTTACGTAGACATTACAGGTTATATAGTACTGAAAAGATCAAAGAAAAAAATAACATTGATAAAATAAGGAACATCGGTATATTGGCTCATATCGATGCAGGTTAGGTTATGGTGTTTTGGTTTTTTATATAACAAGTTTAACATAACTATAGAGAGTTTTATGAAATGATAAACGATAATGATGTAAATAACTATTTAATATTTAATAAATATGTTTCATTAAATTTGATTACGATTTCTTATAATAAATAATATAATTGATAGGCAAAACAACAACAACGGAGCGTATGTTATTTTACTCCGGTACAATACGATCGATGGGGGAGGTCCACCACGGAAACACTGTCACAGACTACATGGAGCAGGAGAGACAGAGAGGAATAACTATCACTTGTGAGATAAATATTTTGTGATAACAATTTAAAGTTTTATTGACCATCTTATGGGATTGACCAATTGGTTTTGGTAAAGTTTATAATATCTCAATAAAAGTAATGTCAACACTAAGACAAAGTGTGAAGATTATGTAAAAATTTTAAATTAATATTGTACCTATTTATATGTTTTATATAGAACTATCTTTCCTCCCTCAGCTTCGCCCGCGTGGAGTTTGGTTATATCGCTTTTCCAAGAGAACGTTTCAAAAGTGTGGGATAAAAACTATCCTATGTTCTTTCTTAAGGTCAACTCTATCTCCGTACCAAATTTCATTAAAATCAGTTCAGTGGTTTTGGTGTAAAACCGTAACAGACAGACAGACAAAGTTACTTTCACATTTATAATATTAGTAGGGATTTTAGTTACCTTATCCAATTATTTTCTATAAATCAAAGTATTTGGAGACAGCAGTCTACTACATTTTAAATCTAATTAATTAATTTCTAGTCTAAAGATTTTGTTTTTAATAACAAAACTTCAAGTTGATCTTCAATGTGTCAAGTAGTGTCTCATGAAAGGATTGAATATGATGAATTAAGTTCTAAATATGTAATCATTCATTTCTATTGATTACACTATATAAATTTACATCTAATTGTGTACAAATTTCTTTAAAATATTTATTTCTCTTTCATTCTACATAACAGCTGCAGCAGTGTCTTTTCCGTGGCGAGATCATCAAATCAACCTCATTGATACTCCGGGTCACATAGACTTCACCATGGAGGTGGAACTGAGTCTGGCGGTGCTCGACGGAGCTGTGGTTGTGTTGGATGGTTCAGCAGGTCAGTTTAATTATTTGGGATGTTTTTTTTTTTATTGTCAAAGCTGGCAAACAAGCAGACGGCCTACATGGTGTAAGGTAGTACCGTCGCCCATGGACATCCGCAACATGTTTGTTATGGATGCGTTGCCAACCTTGTTTTTTTTAGGAATAGGATCACGCCGATCTTCTGTGAGAGGGTGGTACTTCCCCGGTCGAGCCAGCCCATGTTCGAGCTGTAGTAACTTACCACAGCTAGGCTCTACCACCTAAAAAAAAGATGATGCGAAGTCCTGAACTATTACAATGTATAATACTGTCAATTTATAGATATCGAATAAATAAGGAATGTGGTCATATTGGTGTAAATAAAAAGGAATTTTAATAAGCAATCTATGATTTTCTTCAGTAAATATTTAATGTGAAATAATTTCTTTTAAATGTACTATTGTTATCTATTCTTTTATTTTACTATTTTCTGTTTTTCTGATTATTTTCTAATAACTTTGACCACAGGCAAACAAGGTGACTATGTCAGATATAAGGAATTTTAAGCTTAGTTTAAAATTTTTGTATCTTGCAAACAATATTATTTATTACGTAACACATATAAGTGATAACACAGAATAGTATCAAAATCTCTATTCATCATATTTGAGCTTCAAAACATTTTTTCAACTTATGGTTAAGATGTATTGTTTAAACTTCAATTGTAATTCCAGTTTTTGTAACCCACTATTTATTTTCTGATATCATTAGACAAGAAAAAAATTACATATTTTCAGACTAATTTTGATAGCTCACTGAATTCAGAACAAATGTTTTCAGTATGTAGCCATATGAAAATCTCTTGAAATTTTTTTTTTAACTCATAATTATTTCTCCCAGTATAGTTTACATTTTTAACTAATTAAACATGCAAATAATAGTATTAAAAAGTATATGACTATGAAACATTTCAAATTGTCCACACATAGTTTAACAATAAAAACTTATGATATAGATGTTGGATTGAATTTCTATTCAAAATGTATGTCCTTGTAACTCATTAATATTTTACAATCCTAATTTCATCATGATGTATCTCTATAGGAGTAGAGGCTCAAACATTGACCGTGTGGCGCCAGGCGAGCGGGTACAAGGTGCCTCGGATAGTTTATGTTAACAAACTGGACCGAACTGATGCTGATGCTGAAGCTTGTGCTGTCTCAGTTCAAGAGAAACTCCATGCACTGCCACTTCTACTCCACATACCGGTCAAGATGGACGGGAGGCTCGTTGGTAAGGGTTCCTAGAAACTAATATATTTACTACTAGCTTTCCGCCCGCAGCTTGGCCCGCGTGGAGTTCGGTTATATGGCTTTTCCAAGAGAACCTTTCAAAAGTCTGGGATAAAAACTATCCTATATTCTTTCTCAGGGTCAACTCCATCTCTGTATCAAATTTCATAAAAATCAGTGCAGTGGTTTAGGCGTGAAAGCGTAACAGACAGACAGACAGACAGAGTTACTTTCGCATTTATAATATTAGTAGGGATGTGATACAAAGGATGTGTGGTGGTTTGATATACTGGCTTTGTTTCTGCAGAATAACAATATATATTATTGTTTATTCTAAATATGTCGGGCAAGAAATTTAAGATACTTTTTTTTAGGATTGAAACCTATGTTTTAATAATTATAAGTATATCTTTGTAAATAGTCTCTACATTATTAAAAATGCTGACTAGTAATTACATATAAACATAATAAACAACGTGCTACTTCCAAGATAAGTAAAATTAATTATTTTTACTAAAATATATGGATAGCTTTATTTAAAACTGATATTAGGTACGTATTAAAAGGTCAATCCATAGTGTGAGCTAGTTGTAATCATTTACATTTAAGCAATATATTTATCATTTCAGGGCTTATAGATTTAGTAACTCTAGAAGAGATCATTTGGACCCAGGGTCGAGGGAAGAACTACACGCAACGAAAACTGACGGAGACAACCGACGGACATAAATGGGAATACGCGATAAACAAACACAGAACACTCATAGATACACTTTCCTCTATAGACGATAAGTTGGCAGAGACAATAATACAACAAGAGTCACTGGATAATATTAAGACAAAAGAAATACAAGACGCTATTAGACGATGTACGTTAGAAATGAAGGGCTTCCCAATACTATGCGGCAGTTCCTACAAGAACATAGGAGTTCAGACTTTGATAGATGGCGTTATATCGTATTTACCTTCTCCATTAGAAAAGTCGGGAGTTTTTAATAGTTTTGGTAGCGACCTGTGTGCGAGAGCCTTCAAGGTCCAACATGACGACCAGCGAGGGGTCCTGACCTTCCTGAGGCTGTACAGCGGAGAGATACACAAGGGACAGAAGATATACAACGTGCCCAGAGAGATGAGCGAACAGGTGCGTGACATGATAATGTTTGAAAAAACAAGTCGTAGTATACAGTTTGACTGGTGAATTACTATCAATATTTAAGGAGCATACTCGGTACATGATTCTCATTCGAATTATGTAAAAAAAATAGGTACTTAATTTTTGACCAAATTTCCGTATAAATAAATAAAGTGTTGACACGTTCCAAGTGTTCATGTGTGGACGCGTGCGGGGGCGTGCTGATACAACACTACGTCACGACACGCGTATGTGTGAGTGTCAGTGTATACCTAATCTGTAGGGTGCTCACACGATGCGTAATTAATTACATAACTTTTGGTTAACTTTACTCAGAAGTTTATTAATATTTATGTTATATTAATTTTTATTTTGTCATATATGATCGTCAACTACCACGTCCTTAAATATTGATAGTAATTCACCAGTCACCCTGTATAATGGGTATGAATTTGCATCTTGGTATTGTACCTGATAGTTTAAGCACTTGTATTACTTACGTTGTGGGGGAAAATTTCGGTCAAAAAATTTCCCTAACTTCGGTTTATAATTATATAATTTCAGATATAAGTAATAACATTTTTTAACTGAATCTCGAGTTATGTAATGTGGTCGTAAACATGTTAATTAATATCTATACTAATATTACAAAGCTGAAGAGTTTATTTGTTTGTTTGTTTGTTTGAAAGCGCTAATCTCCGAAACTACTGGTTCGAATTGAATAATTCTTTTTGTGTTGGATAGTCCGATCATCGAGGAAGGCTGTGCGCTATATAACATCACGCTATGACTAATAGGAGCAAAGATATAGTGGTAATTAGAGAAATTATTTCATCTTTGAAGCCTTCCGTTGCATGCGCCGTGAAAACGGTTCAAGATACACAAAAAATATGTATAAAAGAATAATAGCTCTCTTAATGATCTAAAAAACAGTCCGCGACAGTATATGTCTATCTTTTAAGATTAACTCACAAAAACCGTTTTTATGGTACCTAATTTGGTCGAAATAATTTGTTTAAGTTGTATCAACATAATGATATTAATCTTTATTCAAATAAACAAATAAATATGTTGTTGGTTAAGAGTACTTCATTGTGAATTTAAAAAAAACATAGGTTTTATCCTGCAAAATTCTACGGGAACTCGACCATTCCGAAAACCCCGCGAGAACGGAAACTATGTGGGGAGAACCAAAAATCTGCCGGAAGTCACTATTCCACGCGGACGGAGTCGCGGCAAATGCTAGTTTAGTATAAAAAGAACACGAATGGTCATACGTTCACCTTCCCTCACGTTTATATGTATTCTCAATCATGTTGATGCCATGACGAGTCAAAATAGCACTTAATTTTATACACGTCAATTTGTCGTAAAATTGAGTTTGGTTTAAGTATTTTCTGGCTTTTCACTGCTTTAAGAGGTGTTTTTTTTTATCTGGGAGTTGCTTCATACGTCTTCATAGAAAGATTTCTCGTGCCTCAGCATTTCCTCCAGAAGTTCAGTATGCAAACATGTTGAACCTTTTAAAACAATGATTTACAAACAATGCTGTGATTCGACATTCAGATCAAGCTCCCTTAAGATACTCCAGTTAAAAAAAATTGTTACCAAGTCCTCTCGAGTTCCTAATAAATGTTCACCCGTTTTATATATATTCCAGTTATAATCGATACTCCAAGTGTGTTGTTGTCAGACAGGGTCTCTGAGTGTGGCGCTGGCGGACGACTACCAGCCCGTGGACAGGCTCGCCGCGGGGAACATCGCCGTCGTCAGCGGACTCAAGGTGAGGTCACATCGTCATAGCTTCCTATACAGACGTAGAGTACGGCTTTACAGTTGTTACATGTACCTCTGACGTTAAATGTATAGACAGATATTACTTCTGGACGGTGGTAGAGATTAAACTGACTAGATTAAATATACAGGGTGACTGGTGAATTACTATCAATATTTAAGGAGAATACTCGGTACATGATTCTCATTCGAATTATGTAAAAAAAAATAGGTACTTAATTTTTGACGAAATTTCCGTATAAAGAAATAAAGTGTGGACACGTTCCAAGTGTTCCAAGTGTGGACGCATGCGGCGGCGTGCTGATACAACGCGTGGTGTTGTATCAGCACGCCGCCGCGCGTGTGTGTGTGTGTGTATACCTAATCTGTAGGGTGTTCACACGATGCGTAATTAATTACATACATAACTTTTGGTTAACTTTACTTAAAATTTTATTAATATTTATGTTATATTAATTTTTATTTTGTCATATATGATCGTCAAATATCGCGTCCTCAAATATCGATAGTAATTCACCAGTCACCCTGTATATCTTCATTAACATTTAAACAATTTTGAGTTGGATGCCTGAATAAGCATTATTAGTCAGAAGCTTCTCTTTTTATATGTGTATTTTTGTCAATTGATGTCGCAGATGAAATAAGTCCTGAAATATTTTTTTTTGGTACAAGATGAAATCTTTCAAACACTTCCACCCACTAAAACCTCCCAACTTTACCTACGCAGTGCGTAATATGTGTAATGGGGAATCCCTGCCATTTACCAATTCACTACGCATTCCTAGTTATCTACCGTGTCAACGATGTGTCTTCAATTATAAATTCCAGACGACCATGACGGGTGATTTAGTAACCTCAAACCAGTCAGCCGCGAGCCGCGCCAGGGAGAAGCTGGTCTCCACACTCAAGGATCCGAGGATCAAAGAGGACTGTTGGTGCCCAGCGCCAGGGTCAAGTTACAAGCTATGGACACGGAGCCTACCAACGAGGAAGTCGCTGACATGATTCTGGGCATTGGTGAGGACATACTTAAAGATCTATAGAATGACTCTAATAGTATTTATTTTGGAAAAATATGTCTCTGATAAAATCGTAGTAATAAATTAATATGTAATATCGATAGTATGAAATTTTGAAGTTATTTGTGGCCTAGTGGTTAAAAGGCCCGGCTTTCATGAACGATAGAGTTCGACCTTGAGAAAGAACCAATGAGATTTTTTATTCCAGATTTTTTGAAAGGTTCTCACTGGAAAATGCGATATCCCAAAACGCTTTGATGTCGGGCGAAGCTGCGGGCGAAAAGCTAGTCGTATTTATTTTAGTTTGCCAAAAAATCACAACATGTAAGGCAGACCCTTGCCAGGAAATTGCCAAGTAGAAGATTGATAGTATGAAATTTTGATCTGATTATGTTATATTCATCAGTTAAAGGAGCTCAACTTAAGAATATAACATTTAAGTGTGAATTGTGTAATTGTGTGAGTTGTGTTTTTTCTGTAAGTGATGCATTAATTCGATAATAATCATTTTCGTATGTTGGCCTTATAAATACAAAAAAGTAATCATATTATAGACGTGTATAAATATCGTAATTATCATCCAGGTACCAGTATCCCAGAGCCGGTGTTCCTGTGTTCCATCGAGCCCCCCGGTCCAGGTCAGCTGGGGTCCCTGGAGGCGGCCCTGGAGGAGCTGGTCAGAGAGGACCCCAGCCTGAGGGTGCACACGGACGAAGACACGGGGCAAATGGTGCTCGCGGGTGATGTATACTTATATATGATGATATTGACGTATATGAGTACATTTTCTACCTGGTAATTTCCCAGGTTTAGCCAGGGTCTGCTTTACATGTTGTGAATAGTTATGGCTAATTGTTTTAACGACGACCGGCCTTCTGCCTGACATCAACCCTCTTTGGGAATGCATTAATCAGTGATGTCTAAAAACTCTTAGGATCGAACTCGCACCCTCTTGCATAAGAGGCGGACCTTTTAATCACTAGGCCACCACTGATTACGTTTATGAGTACATATACTGTATTAACTGTTCCTACCTCTGATCAACCAAATACCCAGACTGCGGCGGTTCATTTAGAAACGTTATAAACTCGAGAACATAAAGTAATTATTCACCAGTATTACTCCTGGTATTTGTTTATGAATGATCCATATACGAACTTCAACTCGCAAACACATAATTATAACCACATTATAGGATACAATATTTCTTTAATCTAATTACAATATTTCTTTCATCAGGTATGGGCGAGCTTCACCTGGAGATCATCAAGGAGCGCATCATCAGGGAGTATAAGATCGACGTGGAGCTGGGGACTCCTCAGATTTCGTACAGGGAGATGCTGGATGGACAGGCCAGGGATAGGCAGGTGGTGGACCGGAAGATAGGGAACGCCAGGCAGCTGGTGACGGTCGAACTGTCAGCTAGAACGGTCAGGGGAGTCGCCGCTGATAAAGTATTGAAGTAATTATATGTTATTCATTACCTATACCTATTTAGCGCATTGACCTCCGCCGGGTGAAGCTTCACTAAATTTTGCCTTATATTTTTATTTAGCTCTTTTCTTTCGATATTGTATCTAAAGTAACTTGTTCCCATAATTGACTTGTAATATTTTTGAAGTAAAACTTCTTTACGCACTCTTGACTTGGGAGTAAGCTGGTGAATGCATGACGAAAGCGTTACTGTACTTTTCTGTATTATACATAATTACTGGTTACCGAGCTTTGCTCGGTATTTAGGAAATTTTAGTATTTATTTTGTGTTTTTTTTTTATTTCGTGTAGGCATTTTTAATTGTTAACACGTTAAGAAGACACAAAACAATATAAATCAACTTGAATTAATTTCTTAGTCTAACGTCAGAACAAACACTCGTTGACTTCCTGTTCCCTAGCAACGCCATATGCTGTTGTGTTGTTTAAACAATTATTAAAAGCAATTAGTAAAAAGTAGTATTACTATTCGCCAATAGATGTCAGGAAGAGTCATATTTTAAACGATTCCTTTTCGTATTTTTTTTTTAAATAAAATAACATTTTCTAAAAATGATTCCTAGCTAGATCGATATATATATATACAATAATTGCTCGTTTAAATGTATAAGATATAAACATATTACATAATGATGGAGCAAAGAAGTTTTACCTCAGTCTTGTGATCTAAAGTAAACTATTATATATTTTTTTCTGTCTGTATATTAAGACTGGACAAGACGTCTGAGAGTGCAGCCAACCTGGCCCACGTACATCCTCGCATCATGAGCGCCGTGAGCCGAGGGGTGGCTTCAGCGCTAAGGAGAGGACCGCGGCTGGCATGTCCGGTGGGTAGATGATGAATATACACGAAACTATCATAAGATTAATAAACTTGCATCTTGAATATCGTTTTATATCGACTGCTTATAACTGACGGTATTATATTTTTTACAAACGTCTTTTAAATAATTTTAAATGACTTTTAGGTAATTATGCTACTTTTTAAACGCGGAGAAATGTATTGAGCCTGCGAGATTATGTGAGCGGTCATTATTCAGTGTCAGTACATTCACGGTGATATTTTCGGTAGTGTAGACTCTAGAGAAACTTGTAAGAAACATCTTCCAAAAGAAAAGACTTCCTTTATAAGTTTCAGTTAAGTAATGTTCAACTTCACACTATTTAAAGAGTAAAATATATGCAATGACATTCCTCCGACAACACAAAGGTGATATCCTCACTCAAAACACTTGCCATTCTACTCTGAGACGATGTACTAGTCTGCAAGAGAAGTTTGGCAGCTCACAAGCCTGATCCTTTTTTCTAAAAGATGTCTTCATTACTGAAAAAAAAAAAAATATCTTTTTTACCTTCTGTTCGTTGTCGCATAACTTTTATTTTGTGCATGCTGTTATCACCTATAAGTAAGATACCACTAGTTTTATTTTTTATTTATTTATCTGGAATGTTTTTAGTGTATTTTGTTGATGGTCTAATAATAATAAAAAAATACCTTAATTTTCCAAACTTTACGACCAGATATCATCGCCATCCAGCTCACAGATTCAAAAGCATATATATATAATTCTTCTGTGAGTGTGTATGTCACTGAACTTCTCTCAAACGACGGTACCGATTTTGATGAAATTTTTTGTGTGTGTTCAAGGGTATCTGGGAATAGTTTACATTCACAATTTTGTCCGCTGGACAATGTTTTTTAATTAATTTTTAATTTATTCGTAGTTGTTCATACAAACGTCCGCTGGACAATGTTTTTTAATTAATTTTTAATTTATTCGTAGTTGTTCATACAAACGTTTTTTTTTTGTCATTAGATTTGACAATTAACTAATATGTCAATCATTCTGTCGCACTTCAAAACACGGAGATTTTTGGTTTTAATTAGTAAACTCCAAAAATATAAATAAAATAACGTAACAGATATTTCTTGATTATAGGGCGATACGAAGTTCGCTGGGTCTTCTAGTATATATATAACCTCGTTCCAGTTGGTGCACACCCAAGTAACGCTCCACTGGTTGGAAACTGGTCGCGGTACGTCAGAGAGCGTGGTGTCAGCGGCTGTCAGTCAGTGTCTGCGGCGCGTGTTCTCAGCAGCTGGTTCTGTACTGCTGGAGCCGGTCATGCTGCTGCAGCTGGTGGTCCCGGAGTCACACTCCGCCCGCCTCATGACTGACCTGGCCAGGCGACGGGCTGACCAGTTACAGGTCACGCTGAGACGAGACAATAAGGTATATACGATAGTTATTTTGTAATAATATTTTTTTTTATATGCCTCCAAAGCGGCAAATGCAGACGGTCTACTAATGTAAAGTAGGCTTCGTCGTCCATGGATATATGTCATATAAGAGCAATGTTTGTGAAGTAGCCACTTGAATACTTGATGTTTAAAATACCCCATGTTGTAGTACTCTTTGAAAATTTTATATTTACATATATACGAGTATTTACTTCCAGCTATTTTTTTAAACCAAAACTGTCAAATAATTAAAATGTACATGTGCATTGTTGATTAATAATAATTAGTATCAAGTGTGTTATAAACTATATTTCTATATAAACAGTCGCGGGTTTGTCCATAGAACAAATTTCACAACTCCTAGTTTTCTTCTTTTCAAGGATCTCTGATGTTAAAATTTCAACGCTATGAATTTGCTTGACCTGTTATGTAACCAGCTTCTAATGCCCACACAGTATAATTATTCCTGAGACCTTTATCAGTGTTCCTTATCATGAATCTACCTGAACGTCTTTTCGCTGGTCACTATATATTTTAAGCATGTATTTATTGTTTTTTCCAGGTGATAGAGTGTATAGCGCCCCTCTCCCAGCTTGTGGGCTACTCCGCCGCCGTAAGATCTCTCAGCTCGGGCCTCGCTTCCTTCTCCATGCAGTTCTACGAGTACCGACAGATGGCGCCACACGACGAGGAAGAGGCTGTGCGTCACGTCACAGGATTTTAAACTTTATTGTCCTCATATTAAAACATGTTTTAGTACGCCACCAAGAAGATACATTAATTATTGTTGTGGAAAATACCTATAGATATAGTGAAAATAGTTTAAATTAAATAATGATGTATATAAAGAAGTACATATGTATATTTATTTATAATTACATTTTTAATATTTAAGAGACATTAAGCTGAACACTTAAATTCAAAATAATATAGAATTAAAGTTTAATCAAAAGGTGATTTTGAACCTGCGACCCGTGCATATTGCGTCTCAGTCATTTTATTAATCTGAACTATAGAGCTCTGAATCCTGAATTGCATTTTATTTGAATTTTAGTTAAGAAGTTTTATATTATTATCATTAATAGACAATTTTTGATCTTTGTCTCTGACTTTAAAACAATATTTGTTGTCTATTTGTTATTTTTATATTATTCTTTAATACAATAGAATACAATCAAATATCAAATAGACATTTCCCAGTCTCAAGTATATATTATAGATCGATGTCAGCTAACAGTAACCAAATGAAACGTAGTGTCGTGTATATAGTTTATTTGTTAGTTTATAATAAATATCGTTATTACATACAGCTGTTTAATTTCGTTATACTTCTATTCACATGGTTCTCTGAAAAGTTATTTACAAAAACGAATCAAAAGATTTTTCCGTTTTAATGGCTTCATCGTTTTCTACGTGTGGAATATCGGCCAAGTTAAGGTTGGTTATGAGGTTTGTCTCTATATAAGGACGGTCACACTCCAAAGAGGTTGTTTAGTTCAGCTCGTAGTGTCTCGAGGCGGTAGGTCAAGCGAAGGTCAGGTACGTTGGTGCGGGCGATGTCGTTCCCGGCCGCGCCCGCACGCTCGTACGTCAACCCCACCCAGCGCTGCTTCATCTGAACACAGACATGATAATATTGATTTAGGTTCAGGAATTCTGTGTTATAATCAACAAGGATTCTATGGTATCTTTGCTGATATAAAAAAATGATATATGACGCTATTTTTACTTAATATTACGCTCTTATCGGGCACAGTTCAGAAAATACTATGCTGTAAACATGCGTTTAAAATACTCATAGTCAATAACATAAGTTTTTTGGTACCTCGCGGGGAAATCCCGACATGAGCACAGAGTTTCTCGCCAGCTCGCACATATCACAGGAGCTAAACTTCCAGGCTTGGGCCGCGATGCCGTACTCCTCCATCAGAGGCTCCTGTGTATTTTAATATGAATTAAATACTCTAAACTTCACTCTCAGTTCAATCACTTATCATGATACAATATTCTACAATACCTTAGTATAATGGAATTGCAATGGGTCATCGGTGCTCAACGTGACCCTCAGTCCTCGCGAAAAGTAATCCGGCAGCGGGTTACGATGGTAACGAAGGAACAGGGAGTTGTTACTGAGAGGGGACATGGCTATGAAGATCTGGGACAGGTAGTATATGTATTGCAACGCTGGCACCTGAAACAATCGGACGAGGGAAATGGGTTTCTACTTCATAAATATTCATTTGAGACCTCTATCCTAAGCTAATTTTTCAAAAACTATTACTTTTAATTTTATAAAAAACTGTTACTTTTAATTTGTCTTTCAACTTTCAAGGTGGAGCAACATTTGCAACCTTATTGACATGTTTAAAAAAACAAGAGGCCTCCTGGTCAGCTCTTTGCCTTTACTAGACACTGGTACAGACTATTTTATCCACTCCAACATATTCGTTTATGAAAGATAAACAATTTCGGAGTATTGATAAGGTTATAAAACCTTTAAGAATCATTCTGCCCTGGTTAAAATCTTACTTTCCGTAATATAAGTCCATGTGAGATGTTCTCCGCGAGCAGGAAGCCAGCACACAAGTGAGCCGGGGGGCCGGCCTCTCCGCAATGAGGCCGGAGAACGAACGTGTTCAAACCTTGTTCCCTATACGTTGAAAAAAAAAAAAAAAATTGGTATCAAAAAAGTGTTTTTCCATTTATCATTACATAGTATAAGATGAAATCTATTGAATAGTATTTAAAACTAACTTTCTCAGTTGATTTAACATCACAATATTCGCGTACATATAGTACAGATAGTAGGCATATGGAGGATTCTCTTCATCGTCCCATTGTTCAGGAGTTTTCATATTTTCTGTCAGATTTGGATTTTCTGGTTTCGATTCATCGTCTACACTGTCGAAACCTATCACGTGCTGCAAAAAAAAAGACCTATTATTTAAATTTTTATTCAGGAACATTTGTTGATATTTGTCAAATACTTACAGTCAGAAACTTGTGTAATTCGGGATTCGAATGAGGATCAATAGAAACTTTAAACAGGGGATCGAACAAATTATTAAGGAATTCTTGAAAATTCTTCAACAGATTGTTTATGCGGTAGACATCACTAGAACAAACAGAAAAATATATGAGTATTTTTTGTAGAGCTCAGCAAGATTTTGACGGCAGTAATTTGTTCAACACTAACAGAAAAATAAAGATTTACAAAAAGTAGTATTCAATAAAAAGTTGAACTTAAAGTCAATATAGTCAAAATTTCATATCAGGTACCAAGCGAAAACCATTTCATACACATAGAAAAGTAACAAAATAAAGTTAAAAAGGAGAAAGTCAGGGGCTCACTATAGTCTCGGCACTTGCACAAGCCACCGCACGTGTGGGGAGTACACGCGACGTCTCAGAGCCCACGCGGCCAGCTCGCCCCACTCCGACGCCCGCTTACAGTACACGGAGATCCGGGGCTCAGCGTATGTATACTTGCTGTCTTCCAAGTCGCTCATCACTTCCTGCATTTAATATTGAGAATTTGCAGAAGGTAGAACTGTTTTTCAAGTTGACATGAGATTGCATTCATAGTCTAATCCTTAAATGAGACTAAAAATTGATTTTTATAAAAAAATTGGTTCCCATAGAGTCACTACCATTAAATATTGAAAATTTACAGAAGGTAGAACTGTTTTTTAAGTTGACATGAGATTACATTCATAGTCTAATCCTTAAATGAGACTAAAAATTGTCTTTTATAAAAAAATGTGTTCCCATAGAGTCACTAGCACCGTTGCCATGATTTCACTGTCATATGTATGTATAGTTATCTATACATTACCTTTAAAATATCTGCAAAGTAGGCTCCATTCATGTAATTATCAGTTTTTAGAAATACTTCTCGGAGTCTGCTCTCTCCTACTGGGTTATATTTGGCATTAAATCTATCAAATCGATGGAACGTGTTGCGATCCTAGAAATAGTAATATATCTGAATTACATATAGTAAAGTATATTTAATTTTTTCCTATCAAAAAACCTGGGGTTTAGAATTATTTTTATATAGATCCATCAAAGTTTTGCGCCTTAACTTATTTTTTTTAATCTTTCTACTCATGTTGCTATAATTATGTGTTAATGTATTTTTAAAACAAATATTGTAATTGTTGTGTCTCCTTTAAAAAGCTTCACATGTTAGCTATTTTCATATGTTTTATATTTGTCATTAAAACATGTAGTAGCTACTAGTGGTCCTTAAATAAAATAAATAAAAATAAATAAATAAGTCTCACCGCGTGAACATCCAATATGTCCACATTAAGATCATATGCATCCAGCTGCATTTCCTCGAAGACCGCCTTCAGCGTCATGGGCGCGCCGTCCCTCAGAGCCACCACCTGGCCGGGCTGGGCTCGCAGTGTGCGTTTAATGAACCGCAACAGGTGCTTCTGATTCATGCAAGACGCGGCGTGGATATGCGTGTCTACTTTCCTAAAAGTATTAGGTTTTAGCAAACAATTTCTAACACCTTCGTATAGTTAATTTTCACAATATCATTGTTGAGAAAACCTTACCTAACGTTGTAGAAGTCCCGGTGTGGTACGGCTTTTTGAAGAGCCAGCTCGTGTAGTTCATTCAACAGGACATGCATCTTAAACTTCGACGACAGGTAGCTTAGCCGGCGATAACAGAACGACTTCCTGGAAGTTTCACGTGTGATCTCTTAATACAAAACAAATCTTTGATTACTGTTGAGCTTTTATTAATAAACTGTTAAATCTCACAATGGTCCATCAGAAATCATATCAGTGAGAAGACTCATGTCCTCTACGTATTGTTTGAAGGATAAGTAGCGGTAGTTCATTTTCTTGTTTTCGTGGGCATCTTCTTTGTTTTTAAAGACCTGCACTATCCCGTGCTTCCATCGATACACTAAATGCCGGTCTGGAGGAGTAGGACAGTTCCACGGATCTTCATCTCCTGGGGTTACGATAGAATTTTATGTAAAATCTTAATGTTTTTGTAAATAAATATTGAACAAAGAATGACCTACCCGGTCCTTCATCTTGCAAATCTTCTTGACTGTCTTGAATCTTAGTAAACCTCGAATATATTGTCGATAACGTTCCTGGTAAAAGCACTACGGAAAAATAGAATTTGACGTTCAGCATCAGATTGATTTTAACGCAATATAATTTAACATTTTTATATGAACTTACGGTCTGTCTCAGATCGCATGTTCTGTCTGTCTATTTGCTGAAAATTAAAGAGTTCCTCTGACGAGCAGTTCGTTAAGTCACAGTACTTCTCGTCGAGATCAGCTGAAATATTAAAGTACGTGTCAAATCTCTTTTAAAAAACTAATAAAATTAAATCAATAAGTTGTCATACGATCAAATCGTAGGTAGGCTTCGTTAGTTTGTGGCTTATCTTTATTGTCATTGAAATAAGGCGGACACTCGTTGTGGGTCAGATAGTAGGCCAAGTCGTCTGGAAATGATTGGTGGGATATTTCCATGTATTTTTTTCTCAAATTTAGAGCATTTATTAGGAAGCTTGCTGAACGTTTTAAATCATCTAACGGCACCTGCGAACCGTCAAGGTTCTTTAATAATTATTAAGGTTTTATTAATGTGTACTCATTTATATAGAAAGCTGTCTGTAAAAAAACGTGTCGAGCAGACGTCCCTCTGACTAAGCTGCTTTCGAAGTACGTTGCAAGAATGAATTGATGTTAGCGCTTGTCGACCTGATACGAATATATAACATCTACTTTAAAAAATCAACACTGTGTTTGCTTGTGTTTGGCCTTTCTCCGTTGACACTTGCACTTGGGGATCACTTCTATGTATATAGATGAATGTTCTCGTCTAACTTTTGGTATATTTATCAAGTATGAACCCCAGTTATGTGTATCCCAGTGATGGAGATCCTCTGGAAGGGCACCGAGCGGCGTGGTCCGTCGCCAGGGCCTCGGATCTTCATACGCGTGGAGCCCCACTGGTTCCTGCGCGTTTCACTGTGAATCATGCGGCAATACTTAAATATCTATTATTAAATGAACTTACTTGTTAACCTGCTCGTACCGATGAATTTTACATTATATATTTTCCAATTATTTTTAAAATATTTACTCAACGTTTCTTTAATATTAAAAACATAATTGCATCAAATATAAATTATAAATATATGATATCTGAACGAGTTACTTAAAGAAAATAGATCTGTCATTTAAAATTTTAAAAACTTTTTACGAACATAAAAATAATTAGTTTTTTATGTACCTGCGCTCTCTGTTGAAATTTTTTACATCTTTTGATGTTCCGAACATGTTAAACGGTTATCTATTTCATTACTGTAGTAAATATTATAATTTTGTGTGGTGTGGTTGTGGCACTACAACCCGGCGAGCATGACTGGGGGTTGACGATTATGACAACCATTATAAAGACCTCTTTGACTTTTTTACGAAGAAGTCTCGAAAATATATTAATACTCCTTATATACCGCTTAATGTATTTAACGTGTCTATAAGATTTACGTAGCTTAGAAAAAATATTTAAGATAGGTATGTTATCTCATATACTTTATATGTATTGTAAGAAATAAAACAAATAATATTTTCATAATTTATTGTCATTTATAAAAAGCAGCATACAATTCGTTTTAACTAAATAATTGTCCAATTTACTACATACTGTTTTATTTAACCAACCATCTCCACTTAATTTTTTATTAAACCAATTTTCCTTCAAATTTTATATATTTCCATATTGATTTTATACATTTCCATTTGAATTTAGGGCTTAAAAATAAATACGAAAAGGTCGTAACAATTAATTTTTTTTTTTTAAATAATAATAAGTAGATATACAAATTTCTTGTAGATACGTCTCTAATATTTGTGTTACAAGTGTAATAAATTAAGAAATTAATACAAGGATTAATTTTTTAATTAAATGTTATATAATATTTTATTGTTGTTAAACAAGCGAGGGCCTCTTGAGGCTGACCACCTTCATGTCTGGTGTGGGAGGCGTTTGTGGACGATCACCGTTCTGATGTTGATTGTGACGGAACTGGAATATCAATAATCTATTGAGGATCCATAATAAATGTTGGTTTAAACAAACAAATGAATCCCATAACATACCTTGTTAGCACATTTGTGAGATGTGAGCACACACACACATAAAGCGACGTGACTTATGTCAGGTTAATAATTAAATTACAAGAAATTTTGCATTATTATGAATCTCTTATTTTATATATTATACATTGATGGACATGGTCACTATTTCTTATTTTTCTAACATATAGAATTATAGTATAACAATTTAAGTTTAATTTTCAATCATGCAAGGATGTATGCAGAAAACCATATCGCCGGTTTTTATGTCAAAATGGCCGGTCAAGTTGTCAAAATGTTTGACATATTTTAGTTACTTTCATTTGAACACAAGCTTTGTACCTTATGGCGGTAAAGGCGTGCCAGTCCGTTGTATCTACAAAATAATTATCATTGGAATAACGAATCAATATCTTTGATCTGTGCAAACATTTGTATGAATATTGATGGTATTGAGGTTTGACATGTGTTTGTGAAGGCGGGTGTTAAATGACAGTCAATATACGTAAGCAAATTTATTATGAACAATATTATAACATTAAAAGTCGTACATAATATAAATTGTACACGATTCATTAACATATATGGTTAAGTACAAAAGATCGAGAAACAGACAAACAATGGAAAGCGTTAGTTACTAAAAATACAAAACCTTTAGAATTATTTATTAAAATATGGGAGACATTATGAAAAGTTTCGATAATCGCATACGGCATAACAACACTTAACACCTAGTTCATTAACATTAATAAAATATATAAAGATATTTTTAATAAGATTGGAAAAGTTACAAAAAAAAAGAAGTTCATATATTTTTTAAATATATTTCATTTGACGCAGTAATATATTGAAATAAATTCAAACAACGTTACATACGTTAAACATTAAAATTATTTTGCGTATCAATTTACTTTTAAAACTTAAAAGATTAAATTACAAAAACAACAAAAGAAATATTATAAAAAAAAATTAAAACCTATATAATCTGTGCAATGATTTTAAAAAGTTTTTATAAGAACTTAGTAATTCACATTCATGTATTACTATAACATATTATTTATAAACAAAGGGCAGTAATTTCATAAAAAGTCATATTTAACACTTAAAAATCTTTGTAACAATTCACACGGAAGCAAACAATTTAGTTAATGGCGGGAAATTAGAAAAATGTCCACTAACGTCATGTGTCATCAAAGTATTAATATATAGTTACTTGTACATACAAAAGACGAATGGAACTACATACAAGGCATACGACGGTGTATTCACAAATATATTGTCAGTCATTACAACGAACCCGACTACTGAGGGTTCCGTACTCTAACTACAATCCTAAGTAACCCGAAATGGCACTTGTTAGTCAAAATTATCACAATCGGGGGATATATATATGTATATGATATACTATAGGGGCTCCGAGCTATGTTAAGATCCGTGTCAGCTTATCTTGCACTCGACATTCCTTCCTGAAATTATGGTTAGTGTAAACTGATGAGTCATCGACAACACGAGGACGGCACTAGTGTTAGACACACACACACACACAACGTTAATATGATAGACTAGTACATTTATGACGTAATGGTGATGACGTCATTGTTTGCTATTGGCTGTAAAGTCTGGGGTTGTAATGTTGCGTCACTTATTTCGTTCGTATAGACTATATGACTGTTATATAAAAATGTATGAGTTGAAAGCTGAGGGTGTATATTGAAGATTTTAAAACATTACTCTGAGTTTGAAGCAAGTAATATTTGTTGGGAGTGAGTTGTCATTACTGACGCTCAATAAACCCTTTAATATACTAGGTACTATACTAGGTATAATAATACTAGGTATTAATATTTCAGTATGTGTGTCGTATCCGTGTGTGTGTGTGTCGTGTATTCGTCCGTTACCTTGAACATGTTAGTCAGTTCGTCCAGTAGTGTCTCGTAACGGAAGGAGATGCGTATGTCGGGGACGTTGGTGCGTGTGATGTCATTTCCGGCCACTCCCTCCTTGGTGTAGTTGGGACCCAGCCAGTACTGCTTCATCTACAAACGAACATCACCACATTAATTAAGTCAAGGATTTAAACACTTGCACATTTTTCGAAGTCAGCTTTGAAGGTAAATATTTTAAAGTGAGTATCGTATAATATCAGTACCTCATGAGGGAATCCCGACATGAGCACAGAGTTCCTGGCCAGCTCGCACATGTCACAGGAGCTCAGCTTCCACACCTGGGCCGCGATACTGTACTCTTCCATCAGCGGCTCCTGGATTTATACAGGACATATAGCCAGAGTTATATTAGTAATACTAGTTATAAGCGGCCGTTCGTAAAATATGATCACATACAAGAGGTCTGGCTGTGTGTGACGAGATGTGACAAGGGGGACAGGGGTTTATGGCAAGGTGAAGTTCGACGTTTATTAATTTATGTTACTTATGTTACTTTACTATAATAACTAAATAAATATTTTTGATTTTCATAATTGATGTACTATCGTTTAGAATTTGTCATATTAGGGGTTGGTTGTAAGTTTTTGTGACAAAGTATTTCTAAGGAGGTCACAGAAAGTGTGACACAGACTGACAATAAGGGAGGAGGGGTCAAAAAGCTGATTTTAGTGTGATGTATTTTATGAAAGGCCCCTAAAGAAATGTCTCTTGGAATGGAGTGTTTCTTGACTGACCTTGGTGAAGTGGAACTGCAGCGGGTCGTCCGTACTGAGCGTGACGCACAGACCGCGGGCGAGGAACTCGGGCAGAGGGTTGCGGTGATAGTTGAGGAACAGGGAGTTGTTACTGAGAGGAGACATGGCGATGGAGATCTGCGACAGGTAGTACAGGTACTGCAGCACCGGCACCTGGAACACGAACGAGGTTAATGTAGATACACTCAGAATGATGATGTATTTCATGAGACCTTATTAACATCAGCTCTGCCATACTGTATTAAAATATTTTTTAATCTTCTTTTTGAATGTTTCCTACAACTGTTATCACTGATTATAGGTTTCATTTATTACAAAATGTAATATTGTAGCTGACAAATGATGTAGATTAATTCGTTGATGGAACACAACAATTTTGCAGGCATAAAAAGTAAATTATCTTATTTAACGATAACAAACTGGCACAATCATAGAAATTACAAAAAAATTACTATAATTTGATCTAAAGGGAATATACAGCTGATTACACTGATGCCTGTGTTGTTTAATGAATTTTCTCATCATATATTTCGTATGGGAATGTCAAGTAGTGTGGTCGTATAGTGTTACCTTCCTCAGCAGCAGTCCGTGCGAGATGTTCTCTGCCAGCATGAAGCCGCACACCAGGTGCTGCACGGGCCCCGCCTCCCCGCAGTGCGGACGGAGCACGAACGTGTTCAGGCCCTGCTCCCTGACACACGCACACACACAAGACATTAGATACATAATGACACACACCTAGTGCGGGAAAGTGATATATATTGTAAGGATATTATTGGCTTAAGAAACAAAACCTTTTTCATATCAACTGTTTCATAATTTCATTATCTTTTTGACCAAAAATTTTATGTCTAAGCTGAGATAATTAACCTATATAATTTAAAAAGAAGCTATTTTTAATATCACTATTTAAAGAATATTATAATGGGAAGGAAACTATCTTATATAATTAAATAAAAATAAATGACTATTGCTAAGAAATTTGATATAATAAAGTGTTATAATGACTTACTTCCGGAAGTGGTTGAGCACAGTGATGTTTGCGTACATGTAGTACAGGTAGTATGCGTAGGGCGGGTTTTCGTCATCCGTCCAAGCCTGCGGCTCGCGGACATCCGCCTCCAACATCGGGTTTTCGGGCTTGGACTCGTCATCCACACTGTCGAAGCCCACCACGTGCTGGGGAAAGAACCATCAGATGATAACTCTATGACTACGAGATAAGAGATCCGATAGATTTATTACCACAAAGCTAGAACAAATTTAAATAGATTAAAATAAAATAAAAATACAAATAAATTGTGAAGTGGTGTGGCATTCAAAATGGAAAACCCCATCAGTAAAAGCTGGCATAATATCCCAGCACTGTCTTCAGAGGCCTCCATGTGACGGTGACGTACGGCGTTTAAGCGTGACAAATAAATTATTAAAGAATTAAAGAAATAATGATAATTGGATGGGATAGTCTTACAGTGAGGAACTTGTGCAGCTCGATGTTGCTGTTGGGGTCCCGGGTCACCTCGAACAGCGGCAGGAAGATGTTGCTCAGGAACTCCTGGAAGTTGTTCATTATCTTGTTCGACTTGAAGATGTCGCTGGAAACGGAAACATGTATATGTTATTTGTATTGCAGACACTTTATTACCGGAACCGATGGTCCAGACAACAATGAATTAGATATTATTAAAGCAGTACTGATCTTTAAGAGCCTTCCATGTTTTCGTCCACTTACTATAGTCTCGGTATCTGTATGAGCCAGCGCACGTTGTCTGAATGCACGTCGTAGTGGATGGCCCACTTGGCCAGCTTGGCCCACTCGCCGGGACTCTTTCCGTAGATGGACAGACGAAGCTCGGCGTTCTGGTACTTACTCTCCTCCAGATCTGAGGCTACCTCCTGGATAACAAAGAAATTAACTATTGTAATAAGAGTAATAAGTCTCTATCATCATCTTCAGACTATCAGAGCCCACTGCTGGATAAAAGCCTCTTCTCACATGGAAAACGTAACGGGATTTTGGGAGAGGGGGGGTCTCGTAAAACGGTACGGTGCGTTACGGGGCGGGAGGGGGTGTCTCTTACAAAACGTTACGTAGCATTGTTTCTAAAAAAACCTCCAAACTGGCAACTCTTTTCATATACATTACATTGTTGACCAGATTGTATTAGTCTGGTCGATATTTTTATTTGTTATTCCAAGTTTGCAAACCTCTTTAACTTGTTATTTTACGGGGAATACTTAGATTCTTTTAATATTGCTGCCGTGGTCAGTATTCGTTAGTGTTTATCCGTGAGTTCAGTGTTCATACTGTAATCTCTTCAGTAGAGGGAGATTTGTGTCAACGATCTTTTTTCATTTAATAGATTAAAACTATACCAAACTATTACATATTGTTTTACGACTTTGGATGAAATTGATCACTTGAGTGTTACATAACATTTTGAGAGGGGGGCTACAGAAAACGTAACTGTGCGTTACGAGGGGGAAGGGGGGGTCAAAAATCTTCGAAAATTGCGTTACGTAAAACTTCAATGCTCCCTAATTTGAAATTATGAGTCCAGATTTACTCACAATGTTTTCCTTCACTGTCTGTCAGTGATGTCTAAATACTCTTAGACTCGGAAAAATCACATTTGTACTTGCCAGGTTACGAACCCGCGCCCTCATGCCATGAACCTCTAGGCCCCATGACCACGACTCGAAATAATATGTATGTATAACTAATATTTTTGGGTCTATCCTATGTTTAGTGGTGTGTTCACCTTAATAATCCTGGCGAAGTACTTCCCGTTCATGTAGTTGTCCGTCTTGAGGAACACCTCCCTGAGCCTCGACTCGCCGATGGGGTTGTACTTGGCGTTGAACTTGTCGAACCGGTGGAACGTGTTGCGGTCCTGTTTGTATACACACACATGTTACTATGTACTATGAATATTCAAAATACTGATTCTCGATATTAATAACAAGTAAATATGTGCCAAGATATAAATATTTATAAGCAAACGATTTTAATCACAAAAATAATGCAGTGGGAGATGATATAAAAGTTAAAAGTAACTTAAATGAGACACATTCATACAAATAACATATGTTACAAGTATAGGAAAAACTACATTATGTATTTGTATGTTCGTTTGTGTGCGTTTCTGTGTGGGTGTGTACGTTTGTTTACATGTATGTGTGTGTGTTTGTGTGTGTGAGTGTGTGTGTGTGTGTCGTGTTTCTCACCGCGTGTACGTCCAGCATGTCCACGGTGAGGTCGTAGGTGCTGAGGTTCATGGACTGGAAGACGGCCTTCAGCGTCATGGGGGAGCCCTTGTGAAGCGTCACCACCTGTACACGACATATAATACATTATATTAATCGAATTACATACGGATCTTTCTAATTTATTTCATCGAAATAAAAAAAAAAACACTATTTAAAATAGCGACGGGATTGTTATTTTTAGCTGTTATATTTTCTTCCTGTCAACTGTTTCACTAGCATCAAGGTGTCTCAAGATCAAAGTCTATATGTATTTAGTTTATAATGCCGTACCTCATCAGCGTGTTTCTTGAGCGTCTTCTTAATGAACCGCAGCAGGTGCTTCTGGTTCATACAGGAGGCAGCGTGGATGTGAGTGTCCACTTTCCTGAACAACAGAATTCAAACATTAATCAACATGTTTCAGCGCTGTTACTTTAACTAATAGAAGATTACTTCTAAGTTCTGAAATTTGTCTATGTTACTATAACTGATAACAGCAGGTGTTTAGTAGTACCGTATATTATAGAAGTCTCTGTGTGGTACTGCTTTCTGTGAGGCCAGCTCTCGCAGCTCGTTGAGCAACACGTGCAGCTGGAACTTGGACGACAGGTAGCTGAGGCGGCGGTAGCAGAACGACTTACTGACGGACAAACACACACATATATAGTGAGACATACTGAAGATACTTAGAGTTTATTACATACTAGGTTACCCAAGGGATTTTAACTTGTATATAGTTAAACAGTAAATCTGTATAAATATGTATATTATAGTTAATCCAAATCAATCTGATCAATTCTTTCTAATGAATGACGTAAAGATACACTCACGAGCAAAATTTTGCGAAAATAGTAGTGTGAAGGGATGCGATAAGAAACTAGTTTGATTTTTTATCTCGAGTACAATAAGGAAGTGTTGTAACGTATGTGCTGTGTATTGATGGATTAGGAAATGTTCAATCTATATCAGTCATTAGTATATTCAAACACGGAAGAAGAGACTTAAGGTTCATACATTGAATAGTAAGCTTGCTTTCACTACAAGCAGATTGTTATAAGGCCAATAACAGTACATATTATATTACGTCCGTACTCACAGAGGTCCGTCAGCTATCATAGTACACATAGTGTTCTTGTCCTGTATGAACTGCTGCAGCTTGACGTACTCGTAGGGCACGCGCTCCTCGCCCGCCTCTGTCTTCCTGTACAGGTTAAACACTCCATCATCAGCCTTGATGGTGTAGTCCTTGGCGGCGGGCGTGGGTCCCTCCCACGGGTCCTTGTTAGCTTTAAATGGGGGGTGAACCATGTGATCTGTGGAAAAAACACTCCATTTAAGAGTTATATTGATTATTTTTAGTTATATACTCGCTTTTTCCGCGTATATTTTGGCAATAGTAATATATGAATAGCTGTCCCCACGAACTCTACATTACATTGACAACAGCGTATGTCTCCTCCTTCTTCTACATGGCAATTTTCCCGGCTATAGCCAGGGTCTGACAACAGCGTATGTATCTTACCAAAATTTAATATATCAACTATCAGAATAAGATTTTCGTATAATACAACTTATTGTCAAAGGGAGAATAGATTTTTTTTTTAGTCAGTGCTGAAGTCTAATTACCAGCGATATGTTTCTGCACGGACACACTGGGCGTGTGGTTGGCGGCGGCCTCGCTGTCCATACTGCGGAGGAACCGAGCCGTGATGCTGCAGAAACTTTGCTGGGAGATGTCCATGTAGCGTTTACGGATTTCGAGAGCTTGGACCAGGTACGAGGACGCCTGCTGGAGATCCTCTAACGGTACCTGTATTGATAAGAACATCGTGGTTACAACGATGGATGTTTTTAATATAAGATGGACCATCAAAAACATTAATTCCAAAAGTTATATCCAAAACAATTGCTATGGTCCATATAAGTTTCTATGATCAATACGTGTATCCTACCCCCGACGTGTCTTCCCCACTGATGGCCACTCGTTGGAAGTGTGGTAGCACCACGTCGAAGTCATCGTCAGTGGCCCGCAGCTTGGCCGCCTCCTCCAGCACCGCGTCTCCGGCCAGCGAGCGCGCTGACTGACCACATTCTGCTGCCCTGATAGCATAGAGAAAATGTCTTAAAACTTACTATACAATACAACTCATTTGTTTAACAAGATTTTGAACTAAAGTAGAAATAACTTAAATTATTTTAGCAATTTTCTAAAAACACTAAAGATTTTATTTGAAAACAGAATTTTCCAAAATATTTTAAACATTGAGTAAAGATTTTTCAACAGTATATCTAATGTATCTAATTTTAACAGTTGTGTACCCTGGAAGTTCTCCAGATAGTCCCTCTTTTAGGTAATTTACAGAAAATTGACATTAGGCTGCTAAAACTATTAAAAATATTTTGAAAGAGCATTTTCCAAACGATATCGAGTTTCATTTCATTAAAAGGACATGATTATTTTATCCAAAAATGGTACTGCAAGTAAGAAACTTATATTTTATTCTTCACCATCAAAAAATAGAGATTTCAACAAACAGAAAACACACAAAATTTTTGAAAAATGCGGATATTTTGACGGCTGATTTTTCGATTGAAAATGAGACTGATTTTTCAATATTTATTCAAAATAAGCTGAAATAATAAATATTTCTAATCAAATAAATTACAGTGTATTTGTAACATCAAAAGGAAAGTTTTCACCAAATTTCGTGAGAAAATATTGTTTTTTGTAAGAGATAAAAATAAAAAACCAAAACTTGGTTTTTCGAATTTTTCACATAAAATTTGAGGTTATGTGAAAAAAATGTTAGTATAAAAGTTTTAGGTCTTTTTATTACCTACAACATTACCATATAACATTTTTCTGTAGGACTTTTAGTTTTGTCGGAAATCAAGAAAACCCATTTTTTTACCCTTAAATACCCATCCCCGTACCCTTCCCGACCTCAAATCACCCGTAAATTATTTTTCCTTTAATTTTTATATTTCTCTCCTTTTCTAATGAGTTTCATTGTACTATACCTAATTTAATTATGTTTTAAAAGCTATAGGCACTGGTCTAATAACAAAAACCTAAATATTATTCTTATCTTCGTAGCACTTTATGAATACTTTTTAAGAACACCTAATATTTTACGTATATCCATTATATATACGAATACAAAGGGAAGAATCTCGAAATCTTTCTGATAGGTACTAGACAAACAAGCGTGCTGAACTTTTCTGAAAGCACGCTCAAAGTTAGTCCTATTTTCCTATAACATATAAAAAACCGGAAGATTATTCGATTTAGGGTGCCTATAATGTGAGTCTTAAAATGTAATACGACATGCGATAGATAAATGAAAAAAATATAGACGATGCTGTGAAAGTTTCAATTTAAAACCATATTTAAATCAATGATTCGTGGAATATAGTTATAGGTTTACGAATTTAAAATTACACGAAATCATCAATTAAAAACCTGACAAATAAAGGTCATTTTTAAGTAGAAATGGCGTAACTATTGTTCTCTCATCGTTTTGTTTACTTTTGACTGTTTTTATTTAAGTTATTATTAGCTTGAGAGAAAAGATGACATACAATTTAAGTAAAATAAAAAGGATTGTTTAATATCAGTGGATTATTATGCTCTTTATCGTTATATTCATTATAATAAATAAATTCTTCATATAAACCTTCCTATATATCTAGATTTATATTTTTAAAGAACATTTTTACAACACCATGTATATAACGAGGCGTAGTCGTTCTATCGTACTGCAACAGCGTCGCGTGCGAGCCTCTAACGAATTCAAAACCCGCTGTAGATACATAATAACCTAACACTTGAAGAGTCATCAATTCACTTGGATCAACAGTATGACAACCATTTCATGCAATAATATCTTCATTTACTTATTTGTCAAATAATACTTAATTACCATATTACAAATATTTTGTAGTCCTAGTTTGACATTTGGTAAGCGTATTTTTCCATGTATATTTAGTAATTAATGCTAATTATTTCATAGTTTTTAATATTAGTAGTGCTTATTTCTTCTATATATCGAAGGCTCCTAAGTTTCTAGCTGAGATCAGTCAAATATATATATAATTCATGAATAAAATATACACCTACCCTGGCAAGTTAATGCGCCGACGACCTACATAGTAAGTAGGAAAACGTTCCCAACCAATACCTAAGTAATTGTAGTTACTTAAAACGAAAATTTAATTTAAATTAATTCCAAATTTTTTATCAGAGATATAAAAATCGTTATTAAATAAAACTTTCGTATATCTTTAGCGTAAATGAAAAGCAAAGTTAATCAACTTAAAGCAATGTTCATAAAACAATATGTTTATACAACATTTCGCTGATCCAGTAGTAAGTGGCTTTCAGTTAAATTGATAATGTAATTTAATGACGGACATAAACTTGAAGTACAGCTCAGAAGTTTGTGGGACGTCGGAAGTTTGACGGCGGGCTGCTATGAATAAGTAAGCCAGGTCTGGAGAAGCATAGCGTAATAACTGATTATATTCGGATTCATTTCTTTATAATTCCCTAGCTATATATTTTTAACATATTTTAATCTAGAAAAAACATCCGCTAAATCTTTTAATTAAAAAAACAGTTCATTATCGTCATGATAGTATAAACAAAAGTCAATTCTCCCCAAAATAAATGATCATTGGAATACCTCGTTGAAGTCCATTTCTTGCAATCGACCTTACTACCGAACATCAGCACTGATTGTCACAAAAATATCACGTGAAATTAATTAAAGTCATTAGAGAAGAGAGGAAATGCTCATACGACGTGTGTGAGTGACTAAGAACAGACATCCCCGTGGTAAGGGCTGGCATCAAGGTTGATCCAATTACCAACCAGCCAGTTATCCGACTCACGTCACATGTATGGATTTACACAGCTTTGTACATTTACCTGATAATCTTTAGGTGCTGAAACTAAATATACCTACTTGACGTGACAGAAGAATACTAAAAAAATAGCATAACATAAAGATCTTATAGGCTACATTCTCGCTTTCCTTTCCTATATTAAAATTGTTTTTACGAAGCACTATAACGTAATTTAAACGGAGAGATAACCAAAATTAACCACGGAAAAAGATCTATTTCAATTCATATTGCACTAAATTGTAAAAATCGATAATATTTTTTAATGAAAAAGCATTCTCAGGTATTAAAGTTTAATAATAATTTCGCAACATGCACTGGACTTATTTCACCTAACATAATCTTATTACAGCCGACGTCAATACTGACCTTCCTAAATTCCTACAGACATACATCTTGTATACAGATACATATTAAAATATAAACTAGCCATCTTTACACATTATTAAACATACTAATGGGCTAACAAAGATCGTCTGAAGCAGGTAAAACCTGGAGACGAATATATGTATCTGGCTGTATTTTAAACAACATATAAAATAAAATAAAAAATAAAAATTTGTTTATTACTGTAACTTATACCTAGAAACAAATAGATACAGCTAGGGAGCTCCTTTTAAGAAATGGAATTATCTTGTGTTAGGAGACATATGTTTAAACTTTAATATGTAATTTTAATATACATTTGGTTTTTTTCCTTAAAAGATCACCATCCATCATAATAAACTTTCCTTTTATAATAATAACTCCGGTAAACTTTAACATCTCTAACATGAAGTAATTTGGAGAAGAGTTATTTGAAAGTCCGTGTGACTGCGGGTAACTGAAATGTAGTTTACTGAAATTTCTAATCCTATTAGCCGTTTTGCGTTTTATATGGCATTAGTATTATATAAAGTAGCCTGACGTTTTGTTTAGAAACTATTTAATAGATAAATGTGCGTGTAAAATATATGTCATTACATATTTTATGAATAAAAGTATTGAAATACTACATAGCTTTCCGCCCGCAGTTTCGCCCGCGTGGAGTTCGGTTATATCGCGTTTCCAAGAGAACCTTTCAAAAGTCTGGGATAAAAACTATCCTATATTCTTTCTTGACGTCAACTCCATTTCTGTACCAAATTTCATTAAAATCAGTTCAGTGGTTTAGGCGTGAAAGCGTAACAACAGACAGACAGAGTTACTTTTGCATTTATAATATTAGTAGGGATTTTCGTATTTAATAACTTACTTGACATTTAGCTGTCGTTGTATGAGGAGCTTCTTCTCTATCTGTTCTATGGGGAACTGAGGGACCTCGTAAGGGGCTGAGAGCTCATTGGGGAGCTCCCGCGGCGACTCCGCCCCCACCGCACTCGTTGGACTCTCACTACCTGAAAACAAAAAACAATATAATCATTTTTAAAAAAATCGCAATGTCATTAAGGAATATTTTTAATTAACGCAACAGAATAAATAAAATATACATTTCACGTAACGATCGATAATTTTACAACTTCTTTGTATTTATCAAAAGCGAACTATTTCTGTATTTAATTTAAATGACATGATATGATTTCATATTATAATAATCCATATTTTTTCGATAAAGAACATTTTTATAGGATTACTGTAATTATTGTACGATATAAGATAAGATAGTTAAATGGGACAAATTTATTAAAATATTCTCTCTGTAGTTAAGTTTTTACTTAATCGGATACTTTTGTATCCGATTAAATTCTAGTACAAGTATCCGATCTCGGCTGTACTCGGTGTGCACGTGTAGGTTGTCATTTTAATTTCTGACAAAACAAATGCAATTCCCTCCATCCTCCATACATTTTTTAAATAAAACTTTTTCCGTATTTTAATATCTAAAGTGAAAAGGCTTTTTAAATTGTATTCTGCTGTGAGAGGCGCACGGGTCGCTTGTTCTGTTTCTATAGTAGCTATAGAATATTCTAGGTCAAGGCTTTTTCAATTTTGCATTCTGTGCGATCCACGTCTATAACTTAATATGAACATGTTTATATAGAGATATCAATGATAATGGATATTCATTAAAAGTAACGTTATCGGGACAGCATTTATATATTGAATTCGATAAATATATTGAACCTAAACATATACATATAATATATGACCACGGCTTATCTAATAAAATATTAAATCAACAGTCACTGAGTGTGTATTATCTTTATTTTAATCCAATAAAGACACAAATGATGTTACAACCAAAAACTAGGTTAATTTAATTCCAGCAGAAAAGAAATTTAGGTGTAGAAAAATCTAGATAGATATGTATAATGTTAATTAGAGGTAACAGTCGTTATAATTCCCATTAAATCTGTAAACTATTGATGTCATTCGTTTGATATTCTAAATTTATTAAAATACTTAATTAAAGTTTATGAAATATAGTATATTCATTGGAGGTATGTATTCTGTAAAGATGTTTGATTCTTATTAACTAGCAGACGAAGCACTCTATATAAAGCGTATAGCCCATACCCCTTGTATGACGCCCTAAGGATTATTAGGGCTTAGGGGAAAGGTAAAAGTAGGATATTAATTGAGGGACGGACTTACTGAAGGATACCTGTGAATGCATTTTACTAACAACTGCAATGTTTATTGTGAAGTTGAATTTAGTATAAGTTGAATTGACTCCGTGCTATAGTCCCTACTAATATTATAAATGCGAAAGTAACTCTGTCTGTCTGTCTGTCTGTCTGTCTGCTACGCTTTCACGCCTAAACCACTGAACTGATTTTAATGAAATTCGGTACAGAGATAGAGTTGACCTTGAGAAAGAACATAGGATAGTTTTTATCCCAGACTTTTGAAAGGTTCTCTTGGAAACGCGATATAACCGAACTCCACGCGGCGAAGCTGCGGGCGGAAAGCTAGTTATAAAATACTTAATTAATATCACGGGATTAGCTGAAAAAATATTGATGATATGAAAGCAAAAAACTTTCAAATAAGTTCAAAATATAGATATTTTTTTATAATATACAGTCCAAATAACAATTACACTTCTACATTTTTTTGTTCTGAAATATATTTTTATTTCATAAATAAAATGAATAATTATGACATTTTTATTAAACAAACAGCGCTGGGTAAACCTGTGTAAACGTTTTAGACCGGTTGTGAATTCAAACCACATACCTTTTATACGAGCTATAAATACACCACAAAATACGTATTAATATCAGGAATAGTAAACGCGGTCATCTATACTAATATTATAAAGCTGAGTTTGTTTGTTTGTTTGTTTGAAAGCGCTAATCTCCGAAACTACTGTTTCGAATTGAATAATTATTTTTGTGTTGGATAGTCCAGTTATCGAGGAAGGCTGTGGGCTATATAACATCACGCTACGACCAATAGAAGCAAAGATATAGTGGTAAATGTGTAAAAAACGGGAGAAATTATTTCATCTTTGAAGCCTTCCGTTGCGTGCGCCGTGAAAACGGTTCAAGTGACACAAAAAATATGTATTAAAGAATAATAGCTCTTTTAATGATCTAAAAAACAGTCCGCGACAGTATATGTCTATCTTTTAAGATTAACTCACAAAAACCGTTTTTATGGTACCTAATTTGGTCGAAATAATTTGTTTAAGTTGTATCAACATAATAATCTTTATTCTTTATTCAAATAAATAAAGAAATATGTTGTTGGTTAAGAGTACTTTATTGTGAATAAAAAAAACATAGATTTTATCCTGAAAATTCTACAGGAACTCGACCATTCCGAAAACCCCACAAGAACGGGAACTTTGTGGGAAGAACCAAAAATCTGCCGTAAGTCATTATTCCACGCGGACGGAGTCGCGGCAAAAGCTAGTTTCATAATAAAATTATATACATTTAATGAATAATGAATAATATTTAATGTAGAATAATTTAATAGAATTTCACTTGTGGCCTTTAATAACCTCTCAGCATTCAACGTATTCACGGTGCGTGTGTCGGGTCCATCGTTGTAGTGAGAGGAGCTTCAACAGTGACTGGGACTTGCGACCCAGGTGTAGGTTTAAGGGGCCCCTATCTAACGCGCGTTATACGCACACCTCCACTGTCCAAGCTCCTCTCTCTACCTAACCAAACTTGTAACGAACCTACTAGGTCAATTCTGTGGTAACGCCGTACTCTTAGTGTAAAACTTTTTCAAACGCAAAACCAATATTTTTAATTATTAGTATTGTATTTATAACTTTTCCTAATTTTTAATACACATTACAATGACCAAAACCAACAATTTTAATGTATTTATAACTTTCCCTAAATTTTAAAACGCAGTACAATAACCGTACAATTTATTAGAACGCTACAAAACTTTAGTCATTTCCAGTTTTAATTCGTGATAAACAAATAAGGAAATAGAAAAAAATATATGTTAAAAGAGAAAAAAAAAATATATTATGAGTTTGGTTCACGTGTATACAGCACAAAAAATATATAATAAAATAAATGTTTCTTGTATTTACATGTGTAACAGAAAATGTAGGCATGAGTCAATAGTGCATTCCAATAGCTAAGGCTCTAACCGCACACACGACCAGCGAAGCGTTTTTTAAACGCGCGTTTATTTTCATAAAAGCAGCGGGTAAAAATCGCTTCATATGTTATTACAGAGTCTAGACTGTGTTGGGAGGAAGCCAGTAATGTTGAAGTATTGTTTTGAGTAATGGTACTTTAAATACAAGATATAGTACTTTAGATAAGGTTCAGAGTAATAAGATTGTCTGTATGTACATTATACGTATATGTATATATATTACGATAATATTAAGTTACTATTTTAATTTTATATATATATTATAATCAGGCATTAAAGGATCGATAGATTCTCTGGCATTTTGTAAATTAGACACTGATATTTGAAAAATATAATATGTAGCCGCTATTTAAAATTATGACCAACAAGTAACAATGTATTATTTTTATGATAATTGGGATCATCATCAGCTTATCAGAGTCTACTGCTGAGCAAAGGCCTCTTCTCACATGGAGAAGATTTGAGCATTAATCACCACGCTTACTAAAGACGGGTTGGTGATTTGAAACTTGTAATTTGAAATCATAAGCCAGGTTTCCTCACGATGTTTTCCTTCACCGTCGGTCATGCATGAGATTCGAATTCTTAACCTATAGGGCACCACGACTTGATAATTATGATACGATTTAATTAAATATATTTACGATTTTCCTCCTTGGTGTCATCCTGCGACTCTGTGGGGCCGCGCCCTCACATGCCACAGATCCTTGTCGAAGCTGTACATCACATTTAATCCAGATCTTACAGCAGTCAGCCAGCTAAGGACTGCTGGAACACCTCACTATTAACACTTGATGGTACAAGTGACACGCAACTGAACAGCTGTTACACGTTTGAGAGCTAATAGTTAACAGAACTATATATGTATATATATTTATGTTGTACCCACTATAGGGTTACAATCTTTTAAACTAATTTAAACGAATTATTAAGTATACCGTATGTAAAAATTATCTTCGACGGAAAATTTTACATGACGTGACATGATACGAACTAATTTACTTTCAAATAGAAGTAACTTATCGTATGAGAATGAAAAATAATAAATGAAATGAACGTCTCATTCTGAACTTATTATTGTAAGATGTTAAAAAAAAAAGACGAATTTATATAAAACACGAGACGCAAGGAAGTTTGTGTGTCTTGATTAAATCAGATCTTATTTCCTATAAGAGTTATTGATTAGATTTTTAATAGGACACTTTCGTATTATCATAAAACCAATACCGTCTTTACCATAAGGGCACACGGGGCCCGTGCCCAGGGCCTCTATTCTCAGGGGGGCCCCGAAGGACCTACAATTTCTCTCACACATTTATTCCCAAAACATATTTGTCGGACACATTACTTTTTTTCGCAAATTAGTAACCTTATAAGAGGCTATTTACGTGGCATATACACAGATACTGTGGGCATATACTACGCTATTATATCGATGACTGCGGCTATTCCTACTGTACAAATCTATACTAATATTATAAAGCTGAAGAGTTTGTTTGTTTGTTTGTTTGAAAGCGCTAATCTCCGAAACTACTGGTTCGAATTGAATAATTCTTTTTGTGTTGGATAGTCCAGTTATCGAGGAAGGCTCACAGCTATATAACAGCACGCTACGACCAATAGGAGCAAAGATATAGTGGTAAATGTGTAAAAAACAGGAGAAATTATTTCATCTTTGAAGCCTCCCGTTGCGTGCGCCGTGAAAACGGTTCAAGATACACAAAAATATGTATTAAAGAATAATAGCTCTTTTAATGATCTAAAAACAGTCCGCGACAGTATATGTCTATCTTTTAAGATTAACTCACAAAAACCGTTTTTA